AACTATAGACAGATATATAAGCAGACAGATATCACCAAGATACACAGAGCGGGCAACACAGGTACAGAGAGGGGAGATCGTCTCTGTGGGGTGGCCTTAAATAGACAGAGGGGGGCGGAGGCAGAGGGAGGGAGGGGTTAGAGAAAAAATTTACATGTCAATGAGTACGAAGAGACGCGTAGTAAAGTACGCAGGCTTAGAGGGAGACAGAACACACTAAATCAAATAACCTAGCAAAGTATCGAAATGTTATGTAAAACGACACAGAGAGTCGGTCAACACACAAGTCTCTTCGGAGGCGCGCTGCACGATTCTCAACCACGACCCTGGCGCGTTTGTGAGCCACATTGGGGAGTTACTTTGACCACTAGACGGATGTTTTAGTGCAGTCATTGGCAGGGCTGTCCAGTGGGGTGCGGGGGGGAAATCGCACTGTGTGGACAACCTCCCCCCCCGCCCCTCCGACTCCCTCAAACTAAACCCGAAGTATCACAGCTGTGACACCGTCACGGGCCCCTCAAAGCGCGGGGCCCGGGGCGGTCGCCCCAGGCACGGCTCTGGGCTGAGACCCGAGTCCTCCCGACGATTGTAGACGTCAAACTGGACACCGCGGACACGAGACGAATGCCACTTCAGGTAATTGATGGTAGGATCCGGGGAATCGCGATTTTAGTTTTAGGAATCGCTCACCAGGACGGTATATTTTAGAACGTGGTGGTGGTGAACGTAGCGGCCTCTATCGGCTGCAGAGGGGCCAGCCGCGTGAATGCGTTGCAACGCGAATCGACAAACGTCGGTTCTGTCGTCGGTTGTAATCATCGATTATAAATACTCAAGAAGCCAGTCGATCGCCTTTCGAGTCAAGAACAAGGTTATGCATTTTTCTTTGGTTCTTTCGGTAAAGCCACGCAGATTAAAAAATAATGATAATAAAAAAGAAAGTGAATTAAAATAATAAAATACAAATAATAAAGAACCACGACGTCATCGGGAAAAGGGGGGGTTATGCATTCTAACGTATTCCAACTTTAACAGTGCTGTTGCTGGCATATCTGGGCCTTGTGTCGTCCCCCCTCACCTCCGATTATCACGGTTGGCGACGTACGGTGCGAAAGAAGTCCGACATATCATGACATAAAAAAAATCAACACGTGCAGGAATTTCCGCTGCACTCACCCAGGGGTCTCAGATGTCCGTCCGGGAGTCCAGAATCCGACCTCCGTCCACGAGGAGGGAACTCCACGTCCATGTCCTGGTCTTTGGGGAACGGGATGTCAGCCTGGGTACCATACAGCCCGGACAAGCAGCAGCCAGAGTAGCAGTGGAGAGAAGGGGGAAACCTGGGCCCCGGCGCGAACCGAGACGGAGCCAGCTGTAGATGTCATTGTGGGATAATTGGATTTTTTAAAATATTTTAAACGGCAAGTTCTTGATGAACGGGAACCGCGGTGTTTGCGAAGGGCAGGGGATGCACAGATGGGTCAAGAAACAGACCCAGGAAGATTCGTTTTGAGACGCAGGGAGGGAGATGCAGAGGGACAAAGATATTGAGACGCAGAGACACACAAATACACAGCTGCACAGACAGGTAGGGATATAGATACGAATATACAGGGACGCAGGGACACACAAATACACAGCTGCACAGACAGGTAGGGATATAGATACGAATATACAGGGACGCAGAGACACACAAATACACAGCAACACAGACAGGTAGGGATATAGATACGAATATACAGGGACGCAGGGACACACAAATACACAGCTGCACAGACAGGTAGGGATATAGATACGAATATACAGGGACGCAGAGACACACAAATACACAGCTGCACAGACAGGTAGGGATATAGATACGAATGTGCAGAGACACAAATACACAGCAGCAGAGAGACAGGCACGCAAAGACAAACGCTGTTGTAACTTTACACCCACAAGACAATCGAGACACTAAACAGTCCGTGACTACACCACTAACACAAACCGCTTCACAATAGAACCAAAAACCACACTAAACTACAATTACAGAGCTACAGCTAAAACAGTAAAGGGGAGAGAGGAGAGAGAAATATAAATAGGGCGAGACGGACTTAACTAAAAGACGTGGGCAAAGGGAACATCAAACAAAGAGGCTGGGCTGTGTGTGTGTGTGTCTGTGTAATGGGTTTATGTGGCCAAGCCAATGAGGATTGCCCGCGTGTCAATGTGGGGACGAGGGGGGCAGGGTGGGGATCAATGAGCGAGATCCGGGTCCGTTTCTCTCTGTGTACAAAATCCGGATTCTTTTGCTTGAAAACGTGGGGGGCTTTGACTGAGGCTGTATTCATAGACTGTATTACTAACCCATACGGTTTGGTGCTTTCGGTAAAGTCACGTAGTTATAAAATAATATAAATTACAATAAATTAAATCACGACGTTTCGGGCGCAACACAAGCGTCCGTCATCAGGTGGGACAACCCTAATTTATTTTATTTTTTGTACCTACGTGACTTTACCGAAAGAACCAAAGAGTATGGATCCCTGCAGTCACGAAAACTTAAAATCTAGAACGCTACAAATGTATTTCATCATGGACAAATGGATGGAGGATTGTGAGTTTGGTTGCAGTGGTTCGTGCGTGTGGATTGCAAAGCAGTTCATGATTTTTAACTCACTCGACAACCAGCGCTGTTTTCGCAAAGCAACTTCTGATATCACTTACCTACATTTGCACGACACGTTTGTTTGTAGCACGTCATTCAAACAAAAGCGTTCAACTATCTGAATAACAATAAGACAAACTCGGTGACAAATGAAAAAATAAGTTGTATTAATGGCGACACAGGCTATCGACTTCTCACAATAGAGAACCAGGTTAATCACACCGCCACTATTTTTTTTATTTCGGCAGGTAAAGGCCCACCCAGCGGTTATAGCTATTTTTCAGAAGCCACCTGGCCACAAGCGATGAGAGCTCAACGGAGTGGGCTTGTCATCGTGTGTGAATGTGTGGCAGGCAAATACTTGAGTCTAAATGTGGAGGTAAAGACCGTGTCTGTGTGTGGGGGCTCCCCTAGGTCGACTCAGATTATTTAAGTTCTCGTTATTAAATTTGATCTACGAATTAACGCTACGCCTCGAATGTCAACATGAACAAAGCGGTTATAATTCCACACATAACTGGTGGTAATACACCCAGCGATGATGTGGCTTTAAATCCCAAGCTTACCCATAGGATGTATCATAGTGCCACAGTGTTGAGTTTCAACCATTATAAAAGCCGTAGTGGATGTAGTTTTGGAGGGGGTTTGGTTCAGATTCCATGCTGCAGTCCCTCAAGCTCCCAGAGTTCCTGCTGGTCAGGGTTCGACTCAACCCATCATCACCATCATCGCTGTGGTGGATAAAACCAGCCAGTGAAGCGGTGGGGGACAGAGATTAAATCTGGGGCATGATAAACATCGGTGGCGATGGCCGAAATGTCCCTGGGCCCCTCTTGAGCAACCCGCACCCTATGGGCACGATGTGTGGTCAAACAACCACCATAGCGGACACGGCGTGGGAGAGCTTTCGCCCAGACGTCGAGTATTGACTCAGGGCTGTAAAGTAGTGTTGAATACGTTCGTCCCAGTGCTGACATAAGGTTGCACTCATTACACACAAAGTGCTTCTTTCCACAAATGAACCTCAATACCTCGCTGATCTCAAGGTGCATAAACCATCACGCAAACCCCGGTCTTCCTCGCAGCAACGCCTTTTGGCTGGTCATCGAACAAAGACGGCCACTGCACCGCGCACTTTCAGATGCGCTTCTGCGGCCGTCTGGAACGCTCTTCTGATATTAGGAAGCCACTGGAGAGCGATGCACTAATTTCCTTAAAACTGCTTTTGTGTTGTTTGTTGTCCTTCCCAAGCACCTCTGATTAGCACGATTGACCAGGTTCAGTGCGAAGTTCAACAACATACTATACATATCGATTTAAAGCTTTCGTGACTGCAGGGATTCATCTTCTTGGTTCTTTCGGTAAAGTCACGTAGAAGGGAAGTAATAAAATAATAAAAATAAAACATAACATAATAATTGTTTTATTATGTTTTATTTTTATTATTTTATTACTTCCCTTCTACGTGACTTTACCGAAAGAACCAAGAAGATACTATACATATTCTAGATTTGTAGTTTTTGTGACTGTAATGATCCATACTCTTTGGTTATTTCGGTAAAGTCACGTAGGTGAAAATAATATTGAAATAAAAAAATGAAAACTAAATTAAATCACGACGTTTCGGGCGCAACACAAGCGTCCTTCACCAGGTGGGGACCACCACAGCGAAAACAATCGCTGAAGTATGCCAAAGAGATTGCTGTAACAAGGGATTATATAGCTGAGGGGGCGGGGGGGCAGGGTGAGTGTGGGGGCAGGGAGAGCGGCAAGGATGTTCCTAGAGTTCGAACTAAAGCTGTACGTTGGGTGGGGGGGAGAGGGTTGGGGCGGCAAATCTGCACGATCGAAACACTGCACGTCAAATTTCCTATTGATGGTAGTGTGCAAGGATGGGAGTGAAAGACTGGAGATGTGGATATGAATATAAACTATAAGGCAGCTAAAGTTGAACTTGGTTAATAACATCCTTCCAATGATTGCTCAATTTGAATCCATCTTCTCGGTTGAAGTTATGTCTATGTTTGTACGTCTGGATGGCTTCATGGACAAATCTTTAAGGACATTTCCACGATCCAACCCAAAAAACGATTATGAACATGTGTCACGAAAGCCGACGTGTTAAGCTAAAACACAGCAAGTTAGCAGTGGAGGGCACAGGTGGTGCATCGGACAGTCATCTCAGCCAGTCAACCTATGGCACCTGGGTCTGTCCCGTGACCTGCCCGCTTCACGTGGGCCTTCATGTGCACATAGCCTGGCACACGCGCCGCGGGGACGTCACCGCCACTTAGTGGCGAATGGCGGCAATTGTTGTCAGCATACACTTAACAAAGCCACCAAGTGAATCCTGTTGTCTGGGGTGATGTTTTTATTCGCAATTTATCTGGTAACAGCAGTGTGATTCAATGATCCTTACTTTTTGTTGGCATCTTAATTTGTACAAGTTTTAAACAACAAAAATATTCAAGCGTGCACAAACCTTTCGAAAGCCAGTCGCAATAAACACCTTTACACAATACATCTTCATTTAGACCGTTTTACAGGACGTTACGGAAGATGTCACGAAGCGTCAGATGCGTGTATTGGCAGAAAGGCAACCTCTGATTTGGATCAACTCTTGCCAGGTCTCAACCATCTCGTGTCGTGCCAGGTTTCCTGTTTTTCCAAATAATAAATCTGTGGCAAGGTTCAAACTAACACAAGAATCATTCCTCGAGGTATTGTATTCCACCAGCAACAGGTATCAGCGATTTCTGATGGTTTACAACCGACGCTCGCTCAAATGGGAGGAAAGGTATAGTTAATAGACCTTGTTTATATGATCACGTGTCCGAATTGGTACTTCAGGAATCCAAAGACAAATAAAATGGAACAAATGTTCAGAATTGACAGACGATCACATTTACCTGTGTGCACGTGGCAGATGCCAGTCACAACCCTCTACTGCACTCATGAGAACCATCACGACCCCGACCACCACCACCTTCATTACAAACGTGCATGAGCCTCTGAGCTGCATGCCACCGGGTGTCATGAACGTGGGCACTTGCTTAAAGACTTACACCATGGGATGAATAAACTACGTTCACACTGGGCAATGTAATCTTAACATCCTGTAAATAACGAGGAAAACGGTATAATTAAATTGTTTGATAGCAGCTACCCATACTTACTATTGTAGATAACCTCACTGACTCCAGAGCTCACTTTGCATGTGGTATGTATATGTGCTATGTTAAGCATTTTACATCTAAGCAATGCACTTTTGATATTTGGACAAAATGTCTAACAGAAATGTCTATTAGTGATTGTTTTTTATATTATTTATTCTTTGCAAAACTTCAAGAATTGGCTGGGGTTCACATTTTTACAAAGATTTATGTTATAAAGTTATTTGTTGGCATCCCAGGTCTCCCTTGCGAGCACAAATCTTGTCTCATGGGCTCTCGCATGCTTATACATACAATTATTCCGTGTGTAGGGCAGTGGTTATCACAACGCTCTATGAACCTGGCCACCCGAGTTCAGTTCACAGCGACGGCAAACATCAGTGATATCGTAAATGGTCCCAAAGTTCCCTACTTCAACTCGCACTGACCAGCGTGGTGAAGTGTGGTCCAAAACAATAATAACGAAAACATGGAGGACATCTCATCCAGCAGTGGATTAACAAACGGTTGTATATTGCTATGACATGTACGCAGATTGGTCTAAGCCTTTGACTAAATCACCCGGACTTGGCCCGATCGCATCACATCTCGTAAGTTAAGCAGAGTTGAGCTTGAATAGAATATGGATAAATGACTTTCTCGACGTCCGGTGGCAATAGGCTTCTGCATGGCTACGTGATTGACAGTTGAGGGTGGTGCAGAAAAAAACATTACTGTTATATGCTCCTGCATCTCTGCCCCCGCCTTCACCTTTACCACACTGCAGCGTGGTGAAAGTGTGAAGTATACTCAAACAAGCCCCGTGATGGCGTGGGGAGGCACTCATCTGGTGCAAGGTTTTCAGAAGGGCTGTACATCTGCGTGTACACGCAGCGAGTTCGAAGGAAACTGAACAAGAGTCCACTCAAACATTTTTCGTGGAGACATCGAAGAAATGGCCTTTTTAAAAATAGCGTGAATGAGATTTAGTTTGATCACATCGAGTCCGATGTGAACAGACTGCCCCCAGTGTGAACGCAGATATTGCAGAGTTCAATAAGCAGGAGATGCGCCAAGCGTAAATGCAGGTAACAGGAAACTCCTTTGCAGTTACTGTATTCCAATTGTTATTGTTTTGCATTTTCTTTACACGTCAATGTCTTCCTTTAATATTCACCCAAGACTACTGTGAGGAAAAAGTAACTGAAGGTTTGCTCATGAAAACCACCGGATTAAAAAAACGCTAATAAAACAAAATATGCGTCTTACTTTGAAGGCGACTTGAACTAAGAGCTGTTTACTCTGCTTACTTGTAAGAAGCACAAACGGCAGCAGAACACAAGCATCAAGAGCTAATGTAATGACACTCGGTTCCAAACGGAATATTCAATATAATTATAGGAACCCGATGCAAGTTCAAGTGTGCAAAGCTGGTGGCATTTTCCAATTCCCACCACATCCCCTCTGGCCAGACCCTCTGGAACCAAGGTGCGGCTCTTCACGACAACAAAAAATATCCTTCCCAACAAAACAATACGACTCTTCAGATTTCCGAATGAAACAAGCAATGGAGAGGGGCTTTCCATTTGGCGATGTCAACCAGACATCTGCGACCAGGTTGGGCCTAACTCCCAGCTGCATATGAAGCTACACCAGCCTCAGACTGTGTGCTTGCTTGAAGCCAAGATGTACCGTTCGCACAAGCCAAGGGGGGGGCCATCACCAGTGCTTCTCCACCCGAGTGCACACAAGCCTCAGGCGATCCCATTTTCCTGCACTTGGGGAGACTTAATTGAGTCTCTAAATGTCAGAGGCAAGACGCAGCAGCAGAAATCTGCTCGAGTGGATGTTTTGGAACTCGGCTATATGCCACCAATTGGCCCAGTGTGCCACCTGTGGCATAACATTCCAGGTCTTTAATCAAAAACAAACGGTCCCCGAAGAAATCAACGGTAAAAATAAGAACTGTCCATTCATGTCTACAGATAGTCGAGTTATTTTTGCTCGACACGACTCTCATGGTGCTCTCGGCCAGGTTAACTAAGGGACGGCGAGTGCGCGCGTAGAAACAAAAATTCGACGAGGAATGGGTGATTACGACGGTGGGTTATGATGCGTGCAACATACGGCTAAACACATGTAAGCAAGGTGCTTGCGGTGCAGAGCTGGGGACGTCCAATTATTCAAGTAATCATTTACTCTACCGATTATCGGCTCGATTACTCAACTAATCAGAAAACAAAACTGTTGCAAATAAGGGGGCTTTCTACCACATGTCCCGGCTGCGCTGGTGATCTGCTCAAGTCAGCCTTCAGGAGGCAGGATGTGGGAGGTGGCAACCATTTTAAAAGGGCCCAAGTAATCACTACAAAACGGTAGTGGATTACAAATTTTAGTCCATTCATTGACTAATCATCCCAGCTCTCATCACGGAGTAAAAAATAAAGTAAAATGTGAAACAACAGTAATTCAACAAAAAGTGGCTCGCTCACAACGTGGACAGAGTCAGCGCCGTTGGCGGGGGGGGGGGGGGGTGGCCCTTTGGACGCGGCCGGCCCCACGTGTCGGCCAGGCTCCCCCACTGAGCATGGGGCCTCCACAAATAACAAAATGTTAACAAAAACAAAACAGTGAAATTAAATATAAACCAAAACTCGCAACTCCCCACTTGGCAAAAGGCGTAATAAAGTGAGCTACGCTATTAGGCCCTCTCACCCTTCCTCGTGTCTTATCTATTCTCGTTACTGTTATTAGTTTATACAGTCTGGGTGTACACGCTGCCAAATGGCTTCACCTTGACGTCCGTTGTCGCATGGCACATTCGTACGAGAGCGGCCCCCGGTTACGCTTTCATTTCTTTTTTCCCATTTCTTCTTTTTTGTTTAAAAGTGTTTTTTTGTATAATTATCTTTATTTTACAGAGGCGAATTATGCGCAAACCCTGCCTCCTGAGTGCACGGTCACCGCGGCCCTTAACGATCGAGCGCGCAAGCAAGTGGTCGGGTGGACGAATGGTGGACGGGTAGACAATAGACAAGACGTGCCGACAGGCCCCGCTACACAAAACCAAAGTTCTTGGTCTTGATGGCCAGCAGCAGCTTCTGCTTCAGGATCTGCCGCGAGGAGTAGAGGGGCACGTAGAGGCGCGAGATGCACGTGTTGGCCGTGGGGAGGTGTTGGTCGTCGGGCGGGCGAATGGTGATAGACGGCATCGGCTGGAAGCCCTCCTCACTAGCCGGAAGGGATGGTGACGACGTCCAGAAATATACCTGCGATGGTGGGTGGAGAGGGACAAGCGGGGGAAGGGAGTGCAAGGAGGGTTGATGAGGAGGAGAGGGTGTTAGGGTAGTTCACTCATAATTTAACGACTCACTCCAACTGACATCACGATAAGGGGATTTGAGCCAATTTAAGCGTTTATTATTTTGCGTCCCGTCTAACTTTGTCTGTTTTGGTTCATTAGCTATCATGCACATTTGCATAGAATGTTTCATGAATCGCCATTAACAGGTCTGACATGCATTCTTTGAAGCATGAAGTGAGCATAAGAAAGAATTTGAAATCAATGAATGTCAAGTGACTAAATATGCTAGAATGCATACAACAAGGTGATATGCTCGAAAGAGTTGTGTGGGTATTGTGTTTGCGGAGTGTGGCCTGGGTGTGAGACTGTTGATGTATGTGATGGTCTGTATGTCAGTATTTTGGTGCTGGTATGCGTGTTGGCACAACTGTTAAGTTTGTGTGTGCTGCGTAAGTGCACTCATGTCAACAGCATGGCATGTGCACTGGTGTGTGTGTGTGTGTGCATGTGGTGTGTGTGGCATATAGGTTTGTGTTTTGATTTGTGTGTGTGTGGTGTAGTGGGGATGTGTGGTGTTTTTGGTTGTTCATGTGTTACGTATTGGGTAGTGGAGTGTGTGTTGGGTTGTGTGTTAGGCATCGTGGGGAGCGAGTGTCGTAGCTAGCGCACTGAGCGATCAATCAGGTGACGCGTTGAATTGCCGCTCAAAACCAATAACAGTGGCGCATATCTCAACTGGTTCTGGGCCTCCCCTAGGTCGACGAAGCCTTAAATGAGTACCTGGTGCAGTGTATGGGGAGACAAAGGCAGCCAGGCGTGGTGTTGGCCACCCACCCCCTCGTGTGCCATGCCAGCTTCCATAGGTGCTCGCCAACAGCACTTGCCCCAACAGTTTGTTAAAGGCTACACGGGGGATCTTTGTAGGCAATGGCTCGTGTACTGAGTTTATGTGCACGGGTGCTGTGACCCCTGTATTTACCAGGTCCTGCCGCTCGGCCATGTTCATCTTCTCCACAATCGACCAGAACCAGCGCTTGAACTGCAGAAGCTTGTCGGCACTCTCGCCTGCTCACCCACACATGCCGCCAACATCCTCTCACTCACCACCACATTTGCCCACTTGTTCACCGACCCACCCACACTTATTCACCAACTCGCTCGGTCACTCACTCACCCATTCTCACGAATGTAGAGAAACGCACTCTTGCTCCCTCAATCGCTAACCAGAAAAACTAATCCATCCACCCACTCACTCACGCTACTGTTGGGAGGCTCATTCAAGTGTGTCACGCAATGGGTTCGCATGCAGCGATGGGATGACCGAACTGAGACCAACAGCTCTCGCTAGGCACGTGACCACGGGTCGAAGAATCTCACGCACGCAGCCAAAATCCCAATTCGAAAGCGGCGAGCGCCGCCTCTCACCGGACTCGTCGTTGAAGGACGTGTAGCTGATGAGCATCTGCACGTTGACCTCGCCGCAGCCGTTGACGAGCAGCCTGAAGTCCTCGGCGGTGAGGTCCTCCAGCGCACTCCGAGGCAGCACATCGAGCACGCCGCGGCGCATTGCCTGGGCACGCACGGCAGGAGACGCGGGGAGGTGAACGGGAGATGCGGGAACACCAGGGGGTTCAAAAGGGAGGCACGGGGAAGTGAACGAAGGTACAAAAGAATGCACAAGGGAGGCACATGGGGCACAGGGGACACACATTGACAGGCAGGGATATGCACGGCAGGGGCCGCAAGAAGTGCGAGTGTTGCACAGGGACATTTTGGAGAGGAATGGGGAAACAGGAGGAAATTTAATCAAATGGTGGGCACAGGGACAGGAACAACAATGCACAGGGACACAGAATAATTTAGAGGCAAATGAGGGGACAGAGGAACACATGGACACAAAAATGGAACAAAGTGGAGAGACAGAAACACATTCGGGTACATGGGCACACACAGGCACAAGTATACGAGACAGGGAAACAGCAAACCAAGGCTACCAACAACCAGAACACAGGGCGGTCATAATCACAACACGGACTGGCAACGTGAATCTGGGCGGCAATGAAAACACAATGGTGCACAAGTGGGGTTCGGCGCAGGGATCCGAGGCGGCGCTCACTCACCAGCGCAGGCTGCTCGGCTGCCACCAGCATGCGGTACTCGGTGTACTTGCGCACGTACTCGTAGACGTTGGCCGGAGTCACCGGCGCCGTCAGTCCCCCTGGCACCAGCTCCATCTACACGCGGCGAGGAAGCGGCGCGTCACGGTAGAGGCCGACCAAAACTGAATTTCTGGTTTCGGCCGAAACCGAACAGTATGCCAAAAGAGGCCATTTGCCAACTTTCGGCACCGAAACCGAATTTCGGTCGGCCTCTACGTCACGGCACAACAGCATGGGTCTCAGCCGACTCCCGAGAGCTCGGCTGGCCACCGCAGATGTTCTCCGGCACCGCTTGGCTATTTTCCCCACTCTTAACAAAATAAACTGGCGGCTTGGTTTCAGACGTCGTGTAATGTATGTATGTTTCACTTCTCTCGCACCGTACGTAGCCCACCGTGCTAATCAGAAGTGCGGGGGAAATACAAACTCAACACAAATAGCTGTTCGAAAAAAATGAGTTTTCAATCTAGATTTAAAAGTGCATAGCTCCAGTGGCTTCCTAATATCAGAATGAAGAGTGTTCCAGATGGTCGCAGAAGCGCATCTGCAAGTGCGCGTGCGCGATGCAGTGACCGTCTTTGTTCGATGGTTAGCCAAAAGCCATTGCGAGGATGACTAGAGCTCGCGTGATGGTTTATGCTCCTTGACGAGATCAGCGAGGTATTGTGTGGTTCATTTGTGGCAAGCACTTTGTGTAATGAGTGCGACCTTATAATGTAACGGACTCATCAACATTGGAATCCATGTACATTCAAGAAGCTGTTTTTGTAATCTCACTTGCACCATTTCATCTATGTCTCAATTGCACCGCCTCGCCTCTACTCTCTGCAGTCGAATTTGTTCCAACTTTTCCCATTTCTTCTATATTGTGTGTTTCGTTCGCCGCATCTCTCACATATGCCGTTCGTCTCATCTGTAACCGTCAGTCCCATTTTTTTCAACCAAGTAAAAATGTTCACCAATTGGAAATAATCGTTCCTTATAAGCGCAGTTTGATGCGTGTATCCACACTAACAGACGGACTAATGGATTGATGACATTGTACTTACTCCGAAATCGAGACTCATTTCTTGGGGTGATTGGACTTTTCAGTCCAGCTCCCAGGTAGATTCTAGAATGATTTGCCTTTGCAAATAGGACAGACTGGCGAGAGCTATTTAAGTGTCTTGAAAGTTCACGTCTTTAAATGGTCCTTTACCCCCCTAGTTCTGGCCATTTACCATGGATCAGTTGATTTCCTACTTTCCATACGTGGGATCGACGGCACCTGAAAAATGTCAATTATTAGCATACGGTTGTTTCACACGGGAGTGAGCCGGCAAGCGAGGAGGGATGTATACCGGTGTGCTGCACAGCTGTCCGCCACCCTCCTCCTTGCATAGGTCGATGGAGAACGTGAGGTCCATGGCCTTGAAGACGGCATCCGCGTCGCAACTCTGCGCCGCCAGGATCAGCTGACGCAGGCTCTCGTACGTCACGGGGTCGAAGAACGCAAAGTCGTGCCAGTTCACCTGCACGCGCGGAATACGCGCTACGGTTACAACCATGCTCCCCGTTACCAACGCGCTACCGTTACCAGGGTGTTACCGTTACCAGCGTGCTACCATTACCAGTGCGCTACTGTTAATACTGCGATATCGTTACCAGGATGTAAATGTTACCAGGGTGTTACTGTTACCAGGGTGTTACTGTTTACACTGCACTACCGTTACCAGGGTGTGACCATTATCACCATTCTGTTACCAGGGTGACGGTGCATTTCGTGCTGAACGCATGATAAGTTAAATCTTGATTTAAAGCTTTCGTGACTGCAGGAATTCACTCTTGGGTCGTTCAGTCAGGTCACGTAAATAAAATATGATAGATCACGACGTTTCGATCGCAACACAAGCAATCGTCTAGGTTGACCGAAAGACCCAAGAGTATGCATTATAAGTTATAACCGACCAGGGAGATCTTTGGTAAAGCTGTGCTACTACACCAGGGGTCACTCACCTTACGGCCCAGGATGACCTTTATGACGTGGCGGTTGAGAGTGATGGGACAAAGCTCGTTCTGCAGCAAACACAGCCCCAAAATCCTGCAAAGAAACGCAGACACGCACCCAGGCACGCACGCGCGGTGCTTTAACTGCTGCCGAGTCAACGATCTTGTGTGATGCGTAACAATTTAAAATAGCAGGAATTTATTCTGTCACCACCAGGGAAGGGAAGCAAGACGGGTTTAACTGCTCAAAATAATCCGGTTGAGATTTCTGAGAATGTAGACATGGAATTTAAATCGAGGACCCGGGTGATACTGGCATTAAAATATCCGGAGAGAAATTCAGACCTCGGGCTTGAATACAGACACTTAACAGTGCCAAGCTCAGGGCTCCGACATGAGCAATATGAACCTTTCAAGACACGCATCCAGTCACAAGGCTTGAACCCAACATCTCTGCCGTACCGCTCGTTGGCTCAACAGAACAATGTCGTGCCCGCCTCACTCAATCAGACCTTCGACAGATGAAATCTGTGTCAATCCCGTATTGCTGACAGCCTGGTTATAAATCCCAGAACCTGGCTCAGTGACCGGCATGCCCATTATGCACCACCCGAGAGACACCCCGCCCCAGGGCTTGAACCGCACAACTAAACAGGGTCCACTCTGTGGCTCTGACAACAGCCATTATGAGCTCGTCGGCATGAGTAGAGCCATCCCTAGGGTACGACAAATCGAGGCGACCGCCCTGGGCCCTGCGCTTTTGGGGGGGGGGGGGGGGCTGCGCTTTGACGTTGCAGCATCAGATGTAATACTTCCGGTTCGGTTTAAAAGTGTCAGGGGGGCTGACAGTGAGATTTCCTCCGGAACCCACACCCCCCGCCCCTATGGACGGGCCCTGGGCACGAGATACCGGGGAGCGTTAGGAAGTCGAGCGCCCTCACCGGCCGACGTTGCGGAAGCAGTTGAGCCGAGCCTCCGTGTTCTTTCCGGCACGCAGGGAGTAGAAGCCGCGCTTGCCCGGCTGGTAGAATAGCGGGCTGTTGTCCTCTGAGTCATCCGAGTCATCTTGGTCCGTGTCCATCACGCTGCGGCTGCCAAGTCGCTTGCGCCCATCCTACACATGACCACGCGTGAACAAACGTACGTACGTACGCACACACGCAAACACGTGGATGTCAATGCAATGGTGCATTTTATCATGAGGAATGTAACTCCTTGAAACATTATTCCGCCTGCGAGAATGCATTTTTTTACCATTTATGGTAATTGTATGCTAGCTGTTGGTGAGGATATTGTAGCTTTCAGGAAAGATAGACCGTCCCCTGCCACAGGAATGAGGAAATTTCAGCACGAGCTCAGGACCAGCAGTGGAGATGAGTATCACCCCACAACGTAGGATGGTAAAGGTTACCTCGATTGTCAACCAAGTCATTATTGAGAGAGACATGTTCACCTCTTGAGTTAACACCAACGCCCACGAGTGCAAGGGGCTTACCTGGGGTCTGTCCGAGTCAGGGAGGATGGGCAGATCCATCAGAGATTCTGCTGCCCCATCCCTGTACACACACACACACAAAGACAAAGACCCCCTTATAGCCTTAACAGACTTTTACGGCAAGTGCACCTTTCAAGGCCGGCACAGCGCACACGGGGGTGGGTGGCCAACACCACGCCCAGCCACCTTTGTCTCCCCAGTACTGATGTTTGTATACCACAGCAGGTACTGATTTGAGGCCGAGTCGACCTCGGGGAAGCCCAGGACTGGTTCAGATAACTGTCACCGATGTTGGACGTGCTGTGCGGGAATCGAACTCGTGTCACCAAGTTCATAGCACAGCGTGCTAACCACTACACTACTGCTCCCCACACACACCTATACAAGCACACACACACACAAAATCACGTACAAAGTAGTAGTCAAAAAAGCAACTAAAAAGAAGCAACTCTGATAATGATAATAATATGCACTGTCCTTGAAGTTTATTGGTCCACACCCGAGACGGCTTTCTTTAGAGTTGCTTCTTTTTGTTTGCTTTTTTGACTACTTGTGTTGTGGATTATTGCAAACATGATGCCTTGAATAAAGGTGTCAGTTTTGTACCAGTTTAAAAGGGTAAAAACCTACTACTATATGTTGCCACTGGTAAAAGAGATCTCATAGTGTAAACACGTATAAAGGTTGAGCCTTACACACACAGAGGCAGCGTCATGCGATGCCTGTAACCGCACGGTGTGGTATGAGACACCCGTAACCTAAGGTGTGGTGCGACAGCCATGCGGTGCGGCGCAGGGCGCTCACCGCCCGTGCGAGATGATCAGCTCCATCGCCTCGTCCACTCGCGCCCTCAGGGAGTCCTCGCTTGCCAGGAGCAGCAGCAGCTGGGCAGGCGAGAGATCTAGCAGCATGCCCGTGATCTTCCCAGCCAGGGCCTGCGTGCGAACACACGCAATCAATTACCAGAAAGGTACTTCGTTGTTTTCCGACCTCCCACTTATATTCTAATTGTGCTATCGGCACAGGTTGTCTTGAAATATTAAATTGCATGTGCAATTGAACCTTATGGCGGGACCCCGGAGTCCCATAAGCCCCCGGCTCTCGCATAAACTGCTTTGCGACGTAATTTTATGTCTGTTGAAGGTGAATGATAGGACAATCTGTTCCTCTCGACGAGCTCTACACGATGCGCTAATCAAAGTTTAGTTTTTTCTGCGCATTCGTCCTCGCTGCGCTTGGACGACACTACAACAGAATGATCCGCGCCAGGTGGGTCGCAGGTGTTTATGTGCGCGTTGGGACGGAGTCGCCAAAATTTTTGTTCATTAATTACGATTTTGACTTTCGTTTATTCGGGACCCCGGGGTCCCGCCATAAGGTTCAATTGGCGAGTGCGAACGTGTGTGTGCAAGCGACTGTGTAAGCAAACGCGTGTGTGAACGAATGCAAGGCGTGTGCGAAAGCATTAAGTGTTCGCGAGTCTGAACAAGTGCGAGTGGGAAGCAGTGGTGCGTGTGTGTGTGCGCGTGCGTATGTGCGAGCGTGTGTGTAAGTGAGCGAGTGCGAGTGTTACGGGCTGCAGCGCCTGCACGCGTGGGTAGAGCCGCTCCCCGAGCGCCTGCCGATGTGCAGGGAGAGGCTCGTACTCCTCGGCCGGGCTGCCCTCCGAGCTGCTGTGGAATGGCCGCGCCTCGATCGATAGCTGCCGCCGAGACTCCCTGCACCACCATCGTCGTCGTCATCATTATAATCGTTAACATCACCATCATCATCGCGGTTGTTAAGCTATGCAGCGATTCACACCACCACTCCCGCCACGGCAATTCGATGTATTGTCAGATTATATTTATTCTTATCCCTTCTGTCTCGTTTGTACAGTTTTGTTTAATCTATTAGCCACAATGGAATAGTAGCATATTATTTGCTACAAGCATCTTCCAACGATGAGCCCCACCATCATTGGCACCAATTGTCATTACCACCAGGACCATTTACAGATTCACTGCCATCAGTATCATCACCAACATCAGGCTGCACTGTCAACATCACAGCTATCATTGTGGTTCTCGTTGGTATATTGAACAGCAGTTACCACCATCAGCATTACCACCATCCTCAAAATCAACAACATTCTTAATACCTTTGTGTATAGCTGTGCATAGCTGATGTATCGCTATTTTAAAGCTGTGTGTGACTGCGTATAACTGCATGTATATGTGGTTGTACGTGTGGTTGTACGTGCGCCGTGCGTGCGGCCACGCGTGTGTGTGTGTGAGACCTCTCTCTCTCGCGCCGCGAGCCGGCCCTCAGGCCGCCCGCCCTGCGCTGCTCGCGCTCTCTCTCCCTCTCCCGCTCGCGCTCGCGGTTCCGCAGACGTTGCATCAGGCCTGCATTGGCGGGGGTGGTGGGGGGGGGGGATGTGGTGGAGAGGGGTCAGGGTGATAGGTAGGGTTGGAAAATGAGGAGCAAAGCAAACAAACTTCGCTCTTCCAACTCAGACGGATGCCTGGGCAGGAACGTATGAAGACGCATATGGTCGTGTAGATAGAACAGATTGCATTGGTTCATCATGGGTCCTCCTTTGCCAGTACCAAAATATGATAATAGGTTTGTCCCCCTTTTTTCTGGCAACAAAACAGGTGTTAAAATGTTAAAACACCAAACTGAAACCTTTAACAAGGAATCATGTCTGCATTAACCACAATGCTTGTGGTCAGAATGCAAACAAAAAACTCTGATAATATATGCATTGTCCTTAAACCTGATTGGTCCACACCAGCGGGAACAGCCAGATGGCGGTGTCGAACAGAGTAGAAGAGCCGCTGAAGAACAGACGGTTAAACCCGGGCTAAGACTAGGCGCCAATGTGTATGTGACCAGAGTAGATAGCGGGCTAGAGAAACGACTATAAGGCAATCCAGTGTAAAACTGGAGAGCACGCCATCTTCTGTGTCAGCGTGCGTGCGTGCACACGTACTAGCGGGCAGTCCCTTGCTGGCCTGCTGGATGAAGTCGAGGCTCGGCAGCTTCTCGTTGGAGAGCAGCGCCTGGGCAACCGCCGTGTAGAAGCTGCGGGCGACGCCGCTGCCTTCGCCCGGCTCGTCCTTGAAAGTGACCTTAACACGGTGCACGGCCATGGGCGTGGAGGCACTGCGCCGCCCAAAGTGGTTGTTCAGCTGCCGCATGGTCTGCTGGATGAGCAGCTCGCGGTCGCGATCCACCTACACGCAGCGCAGGTGGCACAAGAGGGCATCGGGCGAATGGTGAGTGAACAGGTCAGCGGGGGAGGGGTGTGTCGAATGGCTGACACTGTAGAACAGATGGCAGTGTGGAAGACTGGGTGTGCGATTAGTGCACCGTACTACAAACACGGCTGCCGGAGTTCGATTCCCGGCCACGGCTAATATCAGGCCTTGGGCATCTCCTAAATCGACTCGGCCTTAAATGAGTTCCAGGTTTGGTGTGCAAACATAATCATTGGGAAGACAATGGCAGACAAGCGTGTTGCTGGCCTTAATTGGTGTACGCGAACAGCAACTGCCCCAATTGTGTACAAAGGCTATACGGGGGATTTTTATATATTTTTTATAGTTGCGACTAGTTGTAGCACCGGCCAAGGAAACATGGAATCGCTAACCCTGGTTCGGGGCTGCCAACAGAGACAAGCAAATTTCCGATGCTCATTGGAGCTTGAGAGATTTTACTTGAGGGCGACAATAATAAAGTGTCCAGGGAATCCACAAGGAGAGCCACTGCTGCAGGACTTCACAGGCTATGTCACGCCACTTGGCGGCGACGGCCATCTCTCCTCTCTCCAGCGGCGGTGTACTTGCAAATGTTGGCCCTGGCCGGCAAGCTCACTTCCAGGGTGAGGTCGCGGGACTGTGCGTTACGCAGCTTCTCCATCTCCCGGCGGAACTTGGACTCCTTCACCTCGAAGCCGCCCAGCTCCGTGAGGATCTGGGGATCGAGGAAGGTGGGTGGGTAGCAGGTTAGTGTTGGCTCGCCACAAACGCGCGTGTGTGGGTAATAGATGGAATTTTACTTCAGCACGAACGACTCAATAAGCTATGAGGCTCTATTTTATGGGCTTCCTGTGACGGTACAGATGTTATACAGTACAGATCTTAGGTTACAATCGCGGTTACAAAGGTCGTGATACAAACGGCAATAGGGAATCGGTCGAAAATGTAAACAAAAATAGGGAAAGGGCAAGGGAGAAGGGGAGGGAAAGACAAACAGGGGCACTATCAAGCATAGTGAGACAGGGTAGGGAAATGCTGGGTAGAAGGACAAGGCAGGAATGGGCAGAGGGGGTAGGGCAGAGTAAACATCAGAAGCTACGGCAGGGCAGCAAAGGGCAAGGCAGAGAAGGGCAGTGCGTACCGATCCAGGCTCAGCCCCGACGTCCTCCATGAAGACGCGACCAAACAGCTCGAGTGAGAGGCGCCAGCGCCCCAGCAGCATGTCGTGTGAGATTACCATGCCCATGAAGCTGCACTGGGACCTGTGCACGCAAACACACACACACATTTGTTAAAAGAACACACACAATACATTTGAAAAGTGTTTGTAGCGTTAATGTGCAACCGAGAAACACGCGCACAATCTTAATATGCACACATTTACATCAACGTGCAAACACACCACACACTAAAAACACAAATCAGTTAATACTACATTATCATAAGCGCGTAGACACATTATTGTGTGCGTTGTGTTAAAATGTTACCATGAATAAAGAAACGTGTAAACAATATGTAAATATACCAATGTGCACACACATTCACACAAACACGAATGTAAAGACATTCACGCACAAGCAACAAATGAAGAACGGCACTCACAAAACACAAGGCACGGGGGGTTGCTCGAACCATGCCTCTGAGGTTCTGGCTCCGCTCTACGTCGCGGGGACGAGAGTGCAGACCAACGCTCACCTGAACGCAGACAGCGCCGGCTCCTCAGACTCGGCTGCCCCACCACCACCAGCTGCTGCTGCTGCTGCTCCTGCAGCAGCAGAAGATGGTCCTGGCTTCACATCGGCGGCGGCAGCAGCCGGCGGCGGAGGGGGAAAGAGAGATGGACGGAACTCCACAGGCACCAGCGCTGGCAAAGCCGCCTGCTGCTGCTGCTGCTGAGGGGGTGGTGGTGGCGGTGGTGGTGGGGGCTGTTGTGTGGTCGGCGCCTCCGGTGTGGAGGTGCTGGCTCCACCGGGCCGGCGCTGGCGATCGCCGATGCCGCTCACGCTCGCGAGGTTGGTGGAGTAGGACATCTTGGTGGGGAGGACCTGCGTGGGGGCACCAGCAGAAGAGAGGTGAAGCTGGTGCTGGCTGCCGAATGGCTAGGGGAGAGCCGGTGCTTTCGTTCATTTGTGTCACCACCATCATTGCAAATATTCTCTCCAAGCACAACATCATAATCGCTACCATCACCACTCCAACAAATATCACCAACAGTATCACCACTGTCGTCTTGACAATGACCACCCCACTATTACCATTTGCTCCTCCACATTTACCACCAAAATCACCACCTCCATCACTACCACCATCAGCATCCAGGCTGTCATTACCATCACCACCATAATGATGATTTACTCCACTCCCAAAAAACACCATCACTGTGAACATCACCTACACCGCACATTTTAGAATAGCACGGTTGGGGCTACATACGGTGGGAAAAAAGTTCAAGACACATACTACAATCATGACTATCAAAACCACCACAATTTTATAAGTGGGGGTCGTAAAAGCCCACCAGCACTGCCACCACCACCATAACCTCACCTCGAGGCAGCTCCTGGCCGCGTCGTCCCGGGGATCCGGTTTGTCTGTGGCCGCGTGGCTCGAGTAGAGCCCCTGGCTCGGACGCCCAAACAGGTCCTCCTTCCGTGCGTTCGGCTGTGGGCGCCCAGCAAAAACAAAACTTCAGACACATCTTGCGCTAGGTAACCATCGAACGCGGCGGATTCCTGCAGTACTCTCGCTGACAGCGGCACAGGGGAGTTTGAATTAATCATAACGCCACTATTATTAGTATGATACAGGCAAGCTGCTTTGTGGTTTAATTTTGAGTCTTAAATCAACACTTGGATCACGAATGTGGGGCAGTGACATGGCTGAGCGGTAGGGCATTTGCATTGCCACACAGGTTCGTAGTTCCAGCTGAGCAGCTGTCCCAGATTAATACTACAGCTGTATCAGCCAAAAAAATTGTATAAATCTGATCAATTACTGGGAAGCCACATGGCAACATCACATACTACTGGCAGACTAATACCCATTTTCTTATCAGTGCCAAGTTGACCTTTCCCCTTCACAGGGACAGCTGCCAACGGGGCCCCCTGCCGCAGGGCAACTTGAAATCTTGTGTACGAGAGGTGCGGTATAAAAGTCAAGTGATGATGATAACGATAAGGATGATGATTGTGACGACCGCTGCAAGGGGTGGCACCGCGCGCCGTCACCTGGAGGAGGTGGGGCTGGTCGGCCAGGGGTAGCGCCTCCGACAGGGGAACCTCGAAGGGGTTCGGGGGGATGCAGCCGAGGAACGTCATGGAGTCGGAGCGGCGGAAGAAGGCGTGGTGCTGTCCCGACTCCGACGGCAGCAGCTCCTCGTCCTTGTAGGGCAGCGAGCCGCCTGCACGTGTAGCGCCACAAGGGGTGGAGGGAGTAGCGGGGAGATGCATGAGAGTACGCGTGTGTGGGGAGGGTGTTTGTGTGTGTATGGGAGCGATCGCGTAGTTGTTCGTGCACTGTGCTACAAACCCAAATGGCGACGAATAAAATCAGTATTGAATATTTAAACAGATCTGAGGTCTCCCCCTAAGGTTGACTTGATTATCTGGGGTGGAAACATCGGCATTGGAGTAACAAAGGCAGTTGGGCATGGTGTTGGCCACTCACCCCTTCGTGTACCGTGCCGGCCTTCATACGTAGGCTATAAGGGGGACCTTTGTCTTTGTATGGATTTGTCCCCCATGACCTCCTGTCGGCAAGCGATCACTAACCTGCACGTCTTCAAGGCAGTATTGACCAGGGTGTCTGCACCGTGGTGACATCCGACGTCAATATATAATGCTGTTCATATGTCACGAGCGTCGCTACTATATTCTGATTCTCCGGATTATAAAACACTCGGGAAAGAAACGCCCCAAACTTTGTGGTCATTTAAAAAAAAAATCATTAAAATCCAATGTCCTGGTAAAGTGTAAAATATACTGTGGAAGATGCTGGGAATAAAGTGTGTTATAATCCTGAAAATATGGTCATGGTGGAAGTGGCTGTGTGGTGGAAATAAAGTTTGACTGTACCCGGTGCAAATAAAGCAAATCATGTCGCACACATGTAATAGTGGAAATGTTCATGGTGACAATAAAGGTCCCATACCCGTAAAACATGAAACCAATAATAATCCCCAGAAGACAGAATATTGATATATTATTATTATTACTATGGCCACGTGTCTCACTCATGTTGCTGTCCTCGTCGTTCTCGTGCTCCGAGTCCTCCGTCTCCAGACTCAGCTCGAGCAGGTCGCGCGCCCTGCAACACGCCAAAGCACGCAGCCACCACCACCACCACCCGTCATTGCTCCGCACATCGCTCGGCACAAATTAACCACAATACCTTGCTGATCTCGTTAAGAAGCATAAATTATCACGCAATAGCAGCGGCTTTTGATTTGACATTGAATAGAGACCGCCATTGCATCGCGCGCTTTCAGATGCTATTCTGCGGCCATCTAGAACGGAAGCCACTGGAGCCATGCACCTTTATTTAAAACTAATTTCTTTAGAACTGCTTGTTTATAGTTGTCCTTCCCCTGCACCTCCAATAAGCAGTTGACTACGCACGGTGTGAAAGAAGTTCAACATACATACGGCACACACTGATGACAGTGGTTCCTTCACATCGCCAGATCATTCATCCATAGGCCCCACGACTCTTAACGTCTCACAAAGCGCTACAAATGTCCATACTCTGGTTCTTTCGGTAAAGTCACGTAGGTGAAAAAATATATTTATTTATTTTATTTTCACCCTACGTGACTTTACCGAAAGAACCAGATTCAAACCCAGGACCTCAGTGCCACAAGGTTCATTGTCCGACATCATCACTTACTATTAATATCCCCAGTGGCAGCCGTCCCTGTGAGGTAAAGGGTGAATACAGTGCCCGTCAGCAAGTGGGATTTTTTCTGCCAGTAAAGGCAATTTTGGCAAGTGAATTGTAAATGATAAAATTTCACAAATTTGGACCATAAAGCCAGCACACAAGGCATAATTTTGTTTTCGAATAACGTCACAGAATCTAAAACAGACCCTTTGAAACAGACTGTATACATAGGGATAATACAACCACAGTATTAACCAGGGTGGCCGCGAGGCTTGACCACCAGCCTGTGCAATGGCCGGCAATCGTTTTACCGCTTGGCCACTCCACCAACATCATCATCATCGTCGTCATCCCTGAGCCACTCCAGGTGCTAAAGTCGGCGCGCCTCTTCCCGTGGCCGCGTGCGAGCGTCCACGTGCGAGAGTGCGCGTGCGAGAGTGCGCGTGCGAGAGTGCGCGTGCGAGAGTGCGTGTGCGAGAGTGCGCGTGCGAGAGTGCGCTGTGCGAGAGTGCGCGTGCGAGAGTGCGCGTGCTAGAGTGCGTGTGCGAGAGTGCAGCGTGCGAGAGCTCTGCCCCGCCCCGCATACCGCTTGCGGTCCAGCTGCGGCGTGTCCAGTGTGGTCTGCTGGTTCACGGCCTTGATCCAGTAGATGAGCGCCTGGAAGACGTACGCCACGTGCTTGAGCGAGCACACGTCCAGCAGGGGCAGGATGTCCGAGTGCTCGTCCTTATGCGCGCGCATCAGCGACAGCGCGTACGTCAGGAAGTCGCCACGTGCCGACAGCAGCCCGTGGCGCGACGACAGCAGCGTGGCGCGCCTGCAGGGGCACAGCGAGGAGTGAACTCCGGAACACTCAAACATGAACAGACGGACGAAGGACCACACGTGAAGTAAGATGTTACGGTTATGGTGAGTTCAGAGGGATGGAGGCTGGTTGTCTAGTATTCATGCGTATTGTTCGTGTGAGGTATATGGTTACAGATTAGAGTTGGGGTACAACTAGTAAACTGGTACTTGCATCTGGTTGGAATGTGTGGTTCTTGTTCGTGGAAGGCTCGATTACGAGGGATAATACCAGTGGCTAGTTGGCTAATTAATTAAGTCAGTGGTAGAGCGAGTAATGTCCATCTGTCCATTGATCTCTCCCTCTCTCTGTCCATCCATTTCCTCCCTCTCCATTCGTTTATCCATCTGTCCTTCTGTATGTCTCTCCATCCATCCGTCCGATCTTCCCTCTTTCCGTCCATCCGGTGTCTCACCTCTGCGTGGGTGCGCATCGCTGTGCGAGCGAGCGCAAGTGCGTGTGTGCCCACCTGCGTGACTCGAGCCCACGTAGCGCCGCGTCGTCGCGAGGGTTTGGCCGCTCGCGTTCGCGCCGCGCGGGGTTCTGCGAGGCGTGGAGCGGATGGCTTGGATGCGACGGGTCGCCTGCCGACGCCAGCGCCGAGCCGTAGCGCAGCTGCGCCTCCGTCGAGTCCATGACACTCACCATCCAGTTCCAGGTCAACACCAGGTGCTCCTCCACGTACTTCTGCTCCCGGCGCGGGCAAAATGCACTGGGTAAGACTCGCGATCGAGCGGAAAGGTGGCGACTGCGAGCTCCGCACAAACGCCAAGCTATATCGGCCACCACTATAGACCCCCACACAATTTGATGTCAAGACAGTTGGATACGTCCCCTGTGCCTCCCCGCACCCCCACCTGCAGGTGCACGGCATCCTGGAAGCGCAGCGTGAGCGAGCTGGGCAGCTGCGAGGCCACCAGGTGGTAGTACTTGGGCAGCAGGCCCATGAGATCGGACACCTGGCGCACCACGATGCTGTAGGCGCGCGCCAGCCCGCTCGCCGATGTCAGGTAGCTGCTGGAGTTACCGGCTTCCAGCGCTGCCGCCGCTGCCACGGCGTTCGAGCCGAGCGTGGTGCTGCGCCGCAGCGAGTTCGGGTCGATGTAGATGAGGCCACCCGAGCCTGGGTTGGGGGTCAGGGAGTAGGGGTAGGGTACAGGAGGCAGGAAGTGGCAAGAAAGGCTGGAGTTAAGCCGTGCACGAGACGTTATCTCGTCCAGCATGTGACACCTATTCTAAAATGTGAGCATATGATCCCCTGAATTTGCTGCTGCGCTAGAGAGAATACAAGGGCTCTGACAGCCATTTCCCAGAGTCCTCCAGGGCAGCTACCAAAGAAGTAGTGCCACTTTTAATTAAGAAAGGCCAGATTTAAAGCCTCGATGGTTGAAAGTAACAGTTCACTCGCAAGCTTCCTGATCGTGCTCAATGCTAAGGCAGGTAAAATACACTGGCAAGGACATGTGATTTAAGCAATGCTTATTGCAAAACTGCATGCTTAACAGTGATCTGCACGTGCGTGCGAAAGTGCGTGCAAAAGTGCGTGCAAAAGTGCGTGCAAAAGTGCGTGCAAAAGTGCGTGCGTAAATGCATGCGTAAGTGCGCGCGTACTCTGTGCGACCGTGTTCGCGAACGTGCCAGTGAGCGAGCGCGCGGACTGACTGGTGACGGAGGTGGTGGCCGCCGAAGTGGGAGGCGGTGGCCGCTGGGGTTGGGGCGTGCGCACCGCCCACTGCATCGAGCGTGGCGCCTGAGCAGCGCTGCTGGCATGCGCACTGTTGGCTGTGCGTTCCAGCGGCTCGTCCTGCAGGAAGCCATCCTGCTCCTCCTCCTCAGTGGGCGAGCTGCTGCTCTCAGAGTCGCTTGACTCGTCCGACTGCGAGTCGTCCTCCGAGAAGAAGGCCGGCACGCTGCTTGCGCCTGCTCACGAACGGCAAACTAGTTAGCGGACGAAAGGACGATCTGACCGACGAATCAATTAAGTAACAGGTAAACAAGTGGACAAGTGGACGAGTTAACGAGCTAAGCGAGGGGCCGGGCGATGCTGCCTACCAGCCTCAGAGCCGGCGGTGGCGGCGGTCACCACGCTGCGCCGCCCGCTGGCATTGTCCTGGTTGCTGTGGTTGCTCTCGCTGTCGCTCTCCGTCTCAGCAAGCAGGTCCAGCTCCATGTCGCTTGCTGACCACGCGGACACGCGGACAGGCGCACACATGGTGACGTATGTAAACGCGCGTGCAAGTTTGTGTGCGTTTACATACATGTGTACACGCACACAAGAATATGCAGACAAAAGTACAAGCAGGCAGCTGTACATACACTCAAATACAGACGCTAATATAGGCACACACAAAGATGCACGCAAAGATGTATGCATAAAAAAAGCTCACACGCATACACACAAGCACTCGCACAAAGAACTGTTCCGACGGATGCCAGTTGATCCTCCATTATGAAGTCAGTGTGCCACCCCTCCCCGTACCATCTTCATCGTGGTCGTCATGGTGACCCTCGGCCTCAGGATTCTCCTCCGCCTCCTCGTGGTGGTCCTCTTCACCGACGACGCCCTCAACCACCTCCACCTGCCAGCCACGGCGAGAGCACCACCAGCAGAGCACACGCACCACGGATTGGGCTTTGCGTTCAATGCAGCCTAAACTAAACTAAAAACTATTTTTATTTCACCAGGTAATGCATGTACGTTGAACTTCTTTCGTACTGTACGTAGCCAACGGTCCTAAAATAACTATAGTTATTTTTCAGAAGCAACCTGGCCAGAAATAATAGCTCAACGAAGTGGCTTATTATGTAGAAATGTGGAGGGAAAAACTGGAGGACCCAGGGAAAAATCCACGCGACTGCAGGGAGGAACGTGCAAACTCCAAAAATGCAGGCATCAGGGGGGCTAGGATCGAACCCACGACCTCCTGCATACCGGGCGAGGGAGTTAACATGTCACCTCCACAGCCTGGCAAAGCCCTCACAGCAGCTATTGCTTTTCGCTTCGTAGTTTATACGTGGTGCTCTTCCGAATAACATGTGGTAATCCAGAAGCATTTTTTTAACAAGCCGGGAACCAGAAGGTTGAAACCAGTATAGAGTTTGCCTACTTAAACAAATACTGCTGGATAACAATGACCAGGAAAGCGAATAGGCTGATGAGCTAAAACACTAATTTACGTGGAGAAAAAGAATGGAGTTCTTACATTTTCTTCTCATAGCTCCAGTTATTTTGTAAATAAACTATACTTGTGTGTTTGTGCATTTCATCTAAGAAAGCCTTCGAGTCTTTATACATTTTCAAGAGGATAGGTATTGAGATGTTGAGTCAGTTTGCTGTTAAACAGCGGTTGGTGTCATGTGGTGTAGTCGGAAAAAACCCATTATACAAGAGGGGATAACACTCGTAACCATGCACACACAGGTTCACAAACAATTGCTCGACTTTCAATGGGATTGTTTTTGCTCTAATTTCTATTTTCCTAAATGCTGTACTTTGCTTTTGTTATTTTGGTGATCGAGGCCACTCTTGCAACTGAGAATGTCCTTGTCAATGGAGTTCTCACCTGGATATTGTTTTTTTGTATTCACCAAAACTACAGCCCTCTCGTGGCCATCTCGAATGTGTGATAAAGGGAGTGGGGTGTGGGGAGCATGCCAGCAAGAGGGCGCAGCGCACAGATGGGCGAGCAAGGCAGCGATGGGGCAAGTGAGCGGGCGGGCAAGTAGACGAGCGAGTACGTGGGCGAGCGAGTGAATGGGCGAGCGAGTGAATGGGCGAGCGAATGAAGGGGCGAGCGAGTGGTGGCGGGGGGAGGGGTGATCGGACTCTGACCTCCTCGACGTCAGCAGACACCAACTCGTCGGCCTCGTCATCCCTGCCGCGGGCCACGGGAGCGGGGCCTCCGCGCCTCTGCTGGGCCGCGTGCGCCATGTACGCAGACTGCTGCGAGCTCCTGCATGAGCATGCAGGTGCAAGCACGCGCAAATTCAAGTTACACTTGTGCGGACGCACACATACTCGAGTGCACAAAAGACAGATCCCCCGTATAGCCTTAGACAGACTGTTGGGACAAGTGCTGTTCATGAGCCAGCACGGCACATGAAGGTGGGTGGCCAATTCCACACCCAGCAGCTTTTTCTCCGCACTAGTGATTTTTACAAACCGCACCAGGTACTCATTTAAGGCCAAGTCGAACTAGACGAGATCCACTTGGACATATTCAAATATCTGCCATCGTTATTGGTCGGGTGGCTGCGTCAGGAGCAAAGTGCGCCAAGCACTGCGCCACGTTTCTCCAGACAATTTGACACAAGCTAATCCCGCTTGCTTTAAAATATTTTTTAAAAACCTTCATCTGCGGTGCGACACCCCCACTGATGCGGCCTCCCTTGCCACTGGCCACAAACTCCCCATTTACCTCCCCACCGAGTGACATCACTCAGCCACCTCCACACAGACCAACTACTGCCCCCGCCCCACCTCCGCACGCCCTACCCCACACAGTGGCACCCGTCCCACCCCTGACCTGCTGCTGTCGTCGGCGGCCGGGCGCGGTGGCAGCGGCTCCACGGAGAAGATCTCCTCGCTGCCCTGCATGGCGTCCAGGCTGGTGCTGACCAGCGCAAATGGCGCCGTGGGCCTTGCCACGCCCATGCGCACGGGCACGATGAGCGACTCGGCCACGTGGCACAGCTCCTCGACGGCCAGCGGCAGCAACGCCTGGAACACGCGCTTGCACTTGCCGATGGGCTGTGGCACGAAGTTACTGCGGGGGTGGCGGCAATGCAACAGGGACAAGGGGTTTGGGGGAGGACGAGGAGTTTAGCAGTGCAGGGAAATGAAGAGCAGAGGAGGGGACAAGTGACATGACCTTTGTTCTAAAAAGCCAAGATGCTTAGGTCACCAAGCTCCAACACCCAATCATGTTAGCACAATCACTCTTGCACTATGACCTTACAATAGTGTTACACTTTGACATCCACCATCGTGACATTCACTAGCCTGACCCACCCTCGCTTACCCTCCGACCTCTACGCTATCTGAAATGGCCACACATCCAGTTATTTTGTGCTGGTGGTCCAGGATATGGCAGAGCTTTTGTACATGCAATACACACATTCGTGTGTTGGCGAATCCGACGACTTAAACCCTCCAAGAACCTTTGCCCACTCCCAACTCTGCAGCGCGAGCCTCAGAAACCACAGTCCACGGTGAGGCAGCGTACGGTTGTTGCTCCGTTGGGCTGGAAGTAGGGAGGTCCACGTGAGCCAAACACATCGGGGTGTTGGGGAAAAGTTGGAGGTGCCAAAGGTCACAAAAGAGGGGACGCGTCCCTGCACTCACTTCTTCTTCTTGGAGGAGGCCATCTCGACGCTCAGGATCACAAAGATGCGTGCCACCGAGCGCAGGAAGCGGCGCGTCACGGCCACCGCCTCCTCACGCCGCCCGGGCGTGTACTTGTTCTGCAGCTCCGTCACCAGCGTCGTCAGCAGCGTGTCCAGCAGCTGCACGGGGATGGGCACAAAACGAGGTCAGGTCGAGTCACATCAAGTTCAAGTTGCAAGTTTATTTTGTTTAGCCAGGTGAGAACTCAAAGAGACTAGGATAGTCGAATTTGCAAGGGACCCGAGTTGCCAAAATTACAAAAGCAAAACAAATTAAGTGCAGCGATGAAGCAACGAGAAATCAGAAGAAAAACATGTGACTTGAGAAAAGTAAAACATTGCACAAACATACATCAATGTAAATTATTAATTCCCACTTCACAGAAGCATCAAACAGCAGTGTCGTCATGCGATGTGATGTAACGCCACATCAAGGCACAGCAGAATCTGCAGGCCAGAATCAGCATCTTGATTTTTACTGGAGGAATCCGATGAGCTATGAAGCTCTGTCAAGTATGGGCAGCTCAACAAGTTATAGGTTGTAGGTGCGAGGTTAAGGAACGGGGGTCGGCAATTCGCACCCCCATGTCGGAGCACTTGACGAGCAGACAGTGGGTGAAGCAGTCAAGGCGGATGGTGCCGCTCTGCTGGGACAGGTACACCTGCTCCTCCTGCAAGCAGGTGTGCGATGCGGCTGCTGGCGCTCAACCTGAATACACACGCGTACACATCCATGCACACGTGAGTGCGCTAACTCACATGCTCGTACACGCACGCATACACGAGTCCACACACGAGACCACACAAGTACACGTGCTCATACGCGCAGGGACACGAGTACACACGCTTGTACAAGTACACGTAAACACACGCACACTTGGCCAACAGCAATGCACACATACCTAAGCACACAGGTGCACTTGCACTCAGGTGTGCACACACAAGGTGCACAGACAACCGCGTACACAAACACGCATGCACGCACCAATGCACACAAGTATACATTGAACCAACACAGCGACACAAACCCAGGGTTTGTTGACCATTTCAGTGTTTGTTATGGGTCCACAGTATGTGTTATGGGTCCACAGTGTTTGTTATGGTTCCCCAGTGTTTGCTATGTATCTCCAATGTCTGTTGTGGGTCCCCAGCATTCTGCGGGTACTGACGGGTCCTTGTTCTCCTGGGATCCGAATGTGATCATGGACTTCACGGCATTCCAGTCCTTCAGGACGCGCTCCAGGGCCTGCTGAGCAAACCGGGGAGGCTCCAGGTCGTGGTCCGGCATGTCTGCTTCTGAAAATACCCAGCGAGATACACATTAGCACAAGCACACTGACGTAAACACCCACAGCTACACCACACAAATAAAGAGCGCTGCTACACGCGCACCCGATAGTCACCGCACTTAGAAGCACACATGAAACTCGGCTGGTTCAAGGTGAACCTGCCCTCATCATCATCATCAGCAGCGAGGAATCCACTGCCTCCCCAAGCCGTGGCCATCTCTCACGGCCCTACACAGGTAGGAATCCACCCCAGCCCCTGCACACAAGCCGATTTGATCGTGCCAACTTCCTTAGCCACTGTCTTCCTTTGGATTGCCACTCCATCGTTAATCTCGACCCCCAGCAATCATCTCTGATAGTAACGTGTCCTGCCCATGCCCATTATCTTGGAAGTCCATTTCCTCCCACAACTCATGGTGTGTTTCGTAAGGAAATGAAGCACATCGTTTTCTTTGTGTATCTCTGTCTGTGTTTACCTGTGTGTGTGTTAAGGCTATATGGGGAGTCTTTGTCTTTGTGTGCAACTCCGTGTCTGTGTGTGTACGTGTGCATATGGGTGTGTGCGTGTATTTCCGTGTCTGTGTAAATGGACAAATCCTGCAAGCGAGGGACCGGGAATCAGCAGTTTTACCATCGGCGCCAGCCGGCTTGCGCGTGCGCTCGTCCCGCCCACGAGGGGGGCGGTACTGGCAGTGCTCCACCATCTGTCGCGCCACCGTCTGCACCAGGAACAGCAGCAGGTGCTCCCCCCTTAGAGAGGCCAAGCACACAGACGCACACACACGCACGAACACGCACATAAGCAGTCGTCCGTTCAGCTGTGCAGACTTGGCATGTCACGATCAATTCATTCATGAAAACAAATTCTTACTCTCAAGGTACGTGCTTCGAACATTGTGTGCGAGTAGCGATGCCGATGTGTAGGTACGCTGATGAAACTTAGGTTAAGTGAGCAAACAAAACTACAACACAAGACAAAATGAGAAACAATGGATTATTGTTACATCTCTGGTCAGGACTGTAACAATAGGGAGGGGAGGACTGGGAGTGAGTAAAAAAAGTGGGAGAATTAAAATTCAGAAGAGCACAAGGCCAGTCAGAACGGGGCACAGAGGCAGATCCGTTAATCAATTTTGCCAGTTTTCTAGAGGGCACGTCCACAACAGCAACACAACTTGAAAAACCGTTTTGAATATTTTTTAGCGCTATCATGCCAATTCCCCCCCAACATCACACAGGTGGACTGCCAGACAGATAGAGTATGGTCAGAGGTAATGCATCACATTCAACTTTGGTTGGAACATTTTAATAAAAAAGCAGATTGAATGAACAATTAACAAAGTGGTGGGGGGGGGGGAGATACAAGCCATATGAAGGGACGGGCAAGGGTCAGGGATCAGGGGTGGAGGGATGTGGTTACCTGCTGTTGGGCCGTGTGACCAGGTCCGTGGTGGTGAGCAGGCGGTGCAGCAGCTCCAGCCGCGCTGCTTTCTGCCCAGCGATGAGCGTCTTGCACTTACACTTCTCCCAGCAGTCGCAGTACGCGGTGGGCGAAGTCCTCTTCAGCCTGAGCGCAGGTTCAGAATTCAATGCAACAGAAACAATTGTTGAACATCAAATTCTAAATTGAGCACTTTACAATTACACAATTTAATGCCAAAGATGTTTTACAATCAACTGTACCTGGCTCCATGTTAATATGCTAAAGATGGCACAACAGTGTGCTTACAATTTCACAAAGTTTAAAGGAAGACTGAAGCCCAAAACAAACGTATACTTTCAGCCGTACACACGGTGCAGGGGGGGGGGGGGTTAGGAAGAGGAGTGGGGGCGTCTACGCACTTGCAGTCGTGCCCCTTGTGGCAGACACGGGCACACTCCGTGCAGCAGCACAGCGACTCCAGGAGGCCGCACGTGCGACACTCGAAGATGTCCTGCCAAGGGGGGAGGGCGTTAATGTTAACCCAACAGTCTTCACTCTCTTCACCTGTGCACGCAAGATATTGTTGTATGTATGTAGAACTTTCTTTCGCACCGAACGTGGCCAACCGCACTACTCGGAGGTACAACTAGCTCGTCCTAACATCCTTAAGGATCAGTCTTACCAGGGATGCTTGGCCAAATTCTCATGTCTTCCCATGACTAAGCACGCAATTCACCCAATGCCTACAGTGAATATCATTCAAGGTTCTTATGTGCGAGATAATATCACTGGTCAATCCCATTGCTGCTATATAATTGCATAAAATTTGCACAAACAAAAAATAATTCACACCTGTGGTTCAATGCGAGTATTGAGAGACAACAATCGAGTTTAACCTAGGAATTGCTGCTGCTTTATACACCTGCTAACTACCCATATGCTGCCGAGGCTCACCTGGTTGATGTGCTCAGCCCCTGTCCATGTGAAGCTGCAGGTGTCGTTGCAGCAAAGCACGTAAAGCGGCGAGTCGTCTGGATTGGTGCCCGTGGGGCAGATCATGCTCATGAAGTCGTCCCGGTTCTCAGTCTGAGCGTCACCTGGGCACCGGCACACGGACGCACAAGTAGGAGGGAGCGAGCGGTCATTACACCGAGGACAAAACAATAAGTAACAGCTCACTGCTCTTATAATGTGCAGATGTGCAAGGGGCACAACGATATTTGATCATGTGATTCGCCTGCCACAGTCAAATACATCTGGAGAAAAAATACTGCACATGAGTAGCAACGTCAGTGCCTTTTTGTCACGATCACAGACACGAGTTATAAAATAATTAAAAGCATCTGTCATTATTGAAACACTCGTGGTGATAGTAAGCGACCACCCAAGTTATTGATTTAACATTTTACATTTTCGTGTGCTTATGTCCCATTGACAATTTGATGCATATACTCTTCCGTGTAAGAATCAATTGTAATCGATTCATTGTCGTTGCATGCCCAACAGAGCGAAAGACGTGCAAGCAGAACAAAAAGTAGAAAAAGTCAGAGTGGGAGGGGCCAGAAGGGAGAATAAAGACGGAGGGGGGTGAGAAGGGACACACGGAGTCGCGGTGAGTGCCGTGGTGCCTGGCCGTGCCCACCTTTTGCCACCTTCTGCGCCGTCTCGAGCACGGTGATGGCGGCCGGGTATGCACGCCCGCTCACCGCCAGCATGAATGGTGTCATGCCTCTTGCATCCCTGCACACACAGCAGCGCACGTACGCCGTTAATAGAGCGTCAACTCATTTACTCAGCGTTACAAAATATACTGGTCCCAAAGAAGAGTAAATACAGCTCAAAGACTCATAATGGCCATGACAAGAGCCTTCAGCCCACATAGGCGAGATCTGGATTTATACCCTGGGACTGAGTGCCTCTCTTTATAGGCTCGTAATGGTTGTATCCAAGCCCTGAACCGACACCAAATAAGATCCTGAATTGTGGGAATGAAATTCTTGGTTGTGTGATGCAACAATCCACCCAGCACCTATGGTAGCTTGTTGAGCAATCATTTGTGGCCAGGTAACTTCTGAAAGAGATCAGTGGGCCTTATCTGATAAAATAAAAATTATAGTCTTTGGTTCTGTCGGTAAAGTCACGTAGGTAGAAATAAAATTAAATAAATCACAACGTTTCGAACGCAACACAAGTGCCCTTGTGAGCAGCACGATGTCCGCTCACAAGGGAGCGGACATCATGCTGCTCACAGCAGACATCGCAGCTGTCGCGATTTTCACCTGAAGACGGGCGCTTGTGTTGCATTCGAAACGTCGTGATTTATTTCATTTATTTCTACCTACGTGACTTTACCGAAAGAACCAAAGAGTATGGATTCCTGCAGTCACGAAAGCTTCAAATCAAGATAAGAACATTTATTTGTTTCGTTTTCATATAATTGGAAATTAATGTAATTCAAATGGACTTTAATAAACAAAACATCTCTGCATAGGTCAGAGCGCAGGAATACTTCAGGAGGCTGAGCCATTGAAGGAACAAGAGCACAGGTGGTGAAGCTATGGGAGGATTAATGCACGGAGGGGGTCTTTTAGGCTGGCAGCCCAAGGGCCTTGGACTTTGAGAGCCCCCCCCCCCGCCCCCAATTATTTTTTTATCATTAGAATGGTTGAAATGCAATACTGTAACTCTATGATAAAGCCTGTAGATCATTTAGTAATTATTAAAGCCATGGCATTACTATCCATTTCAACCAATTACGTGAAGAATTTGAAGTGTTTGGGCATGGGGGTTGTGGCTAAAAAAGTGACGGAAGGGATTTAATGTACAAAGGGGGCACTCCCGCCAAAACTACATAAACTCTGAGCCCCTCCATCAAACCTAACCTGACCCCAGGCATAGCGGACGGGACCGTACTTGGCGGAGAGCAGCTCGCGCATGTAGAACTTGAGCAGGCTCGTCTCGCACAGCAGCTTGAGGATGGCGTGCGCTGTGGCCTTGCGATCTTTGGGTTCCGACGCCGATGCCTCCTTCGAGGAGCCTGGGGAGCATACGATGAGACGAGCGTCAGCGAGGCAAGCAGTCGGCACAGCCCTCCGAGCCTGCTGGATGTCCGCGTTTCCAATTTATGGACGCCAGTTCCTGGATCTGTCAGAATTTTTCCGTACGTCCATCAGTGTCTGAAAAAGGAGCTAATAGCAGTGGGCTTTACTTGGTAAGATAAAACAAGGTAGTTTATTTGTATATTTTTTTGTTATTTGCTTACTTTCATATACTTTTCACTCCTAACGTGTTTTGTATTGTTTGTTGTTGTAATGTTCTGATATGCCCCTCGTGAAAGAGCTTCATAACGCATCAGATTCCTCCAATATAAATACATATTCTCATTCTCTCCTTGTGTCTGTCAGTGGTCATCCTCGGGTCTCATCAGGGTGTCCTGTCCATGTTGCTGTCCATGTGGTGTCTGTCGGTGTCAATCCATGTGCAAATGAGTGTGTTTGTCCATGTGTCCATCAGTTGTCTATCAATGTGTCTGTCCATGCATCTGCCAGAAAATATTTATTCTGTGCACCGGTCGAATGAAACACTGGCCAGGTGTGGTATGAGCCTGCGATCCAGGAGGCAGAGTTTAGGGGTCAATCAGAGAAGGTCCCACAAATGCAAAGGTGAGAACACCTGCCCACTGACAGTCTAAGCTGTGTATGTGCGGACGTGTATGTATAATTCGGAAGTGGTGGTACTGCGATTCACACAACACACTATGATCTCGGTGACTGGGTTCAATTCCCCATCATGGACAACATGATTAACAAAAGGTGTCTGAACGTGGCAAGAGCCTCCCTTATATCAATTGAACCCCAAATACGAAGGTGTGCAAACATCGGCTGGTCGTGGTGCTGTTAGCAACACCCCCTCAAATGTCGTGTTGGCTTTAATAGATGCAAGCTAACATACAGATTGCAAAAGGGCTACAGAGCGGATGTTTGCCTTCATGTTTGTGCTTGCCAATTACCCGCCAGGCTGGGTGCTCCGGTCGATGGGCCTGGTCCTGCAGAGGACGAAGCTGATAAAAACAAAACAGGACCATATTTAACGAAATATAATTAGTTTATTCACATTTTCACTGTTTGCATTCCCAGCTTTATCCCAATCGTATGATCGGCATCATGCCACGAGGAGGAATCCATTCAGAACTCTCGCAGACCAGTGAAGCGTCTTGTTAAAGAAAGTAATGTTTGTCAAGATATAACTTAACGACAGTTTTATATTCTAAAAGTTAGAATTTAAGTTAAATCATTTGCTAAATAAAATTTACTGCGCCAGTATTTTTTTGGCAAGTTGCTATTGGTCAGCGGCTGACATCAACTGGCTTGCCATTCTTGTGAATTCAAATAAATTACAGGTGTTGCCTGGATTCCAACCGAGATTTATTCACGGTTCCAGCTCATCACTCTGCCCCTTGAGCCACTCGGAACACCACTGATATGTTTGTTTGTAAATTTCATCACCAAGTATACCCCAATCATCCAACACCTGAGGTGCAATCTCCAGTCCGTCACCACATTCCCAGCCCCTGCCACTTACCCCCCCTCCATGCGAGTTGACGTTCTTCCAGCTTGTCTGAGATGGGCACCCCTAACCGTAACCGACATGTCCCTCAAGCCATCCGAGTACACTCTCCCAGCTTGTCCCAGGATGAGTACTACCACTCGTGCCTTCTTCATCATCTCTTCCTTTCTAAACCCGTTCTAAGTTAAAAATCTATATATTTAGAATTCCTTTTTGTGTTTTAGTTTGTTGTCCCCCTCCCGCACCTCCGATTAGCATGGTTGGCTACGTACGGTGCACGAAAGAAGTTCTGTACACGTACCCGGGTCGAACTGCGGTGGCTCGGGGAGCCAGCTGAAGGTGGGGATGGGCGGTGGTGGCGGCACCTGCTCCGCGTGCTCTGCCGCGGCGGCGGCGGCGGCACCTGCGTCGTGCGAGCCCAGCCCGGGGGGCGGCCGCGGTGGGCGGCGCATCATCTCCCTTAGACGAAGGCTGAGTTTAGCGGGGGGGGAGAGGAGGGGAAATCGCAAACGGCCATTATTATTATTAGAAAAATGAAGGATACCCAAAACTAGAATTTAAATGCCAGATTTCAACATTGTCAGCTCAGAAGACTGAACACGGCTATCATGAACCACCTGAGTTACTCAAAAACACAGCACATCAGCACCTTATAAACCTCATGTCAGCATGAGAGAGAAATAAACCCAAGAACTCAATGGTGCCAACTCAGAGGGGCCTTTATAGCCATGATGAACTCCCTGGGTGAGATACTCAAACAAAGGTCTTTCATCTAAGTATCTCAGCAGTATCAGCTCAGTAGCTCCAACGTGGCATTAATGAGCCAACCGATAGATCAACTTCAGCACTTACAACACAGGATTTCAAAAGTGCTGGATCAGAGGCTTTGGCCATAATGAACCGAGTGGTACACACTGCTCGCTCAACGATTTGGAGGCAAGGGCTGGAGGATCATGCAGCTTCGTAAAACACCCAAACCCGTTGCTTTAACACTTCAATGTGGAACCAACATGAAAAAGAGCCTCAAGACAGATAAGACAAATGTCATCTTCACATATTCAATTATGGACCCAAGATGTTAGCAGATTCAGCTCAGGACCCAACAACACCGATTATGGCGGAAACCTGCCCCCGAGAAACTCCAACCAACAACTCAACACGGTCCTCTCTGCAAGTGCTGGCTGGCTCAATGGCTTGGACACGGCCGTCATGAGCCCCGTGCCGCGCCATCACCTGCGCGTGCTGCTGCTGGAGACGCCGGCGCGACTCGTGTTGCACGACACCACCGAGATGGCGTTGGCAATCGCCTCGACCGCCGACATACGCTCGAAGAACGACGTGCGATCCGAGCGGTCGGACTCTGTCACGCGAGAGAAAGGGAACGTCGCAAACGTGGGGAGGGGGCAGAGGGCGCACACAGGAGATTACGTTATCAACACAATTCATGTTACAATATATTGATTCGTCTATGAATATTGTTTTATTGTCAATGCATTGAACGGTGTACATTAATTCTATTCGAATTGTTGATGCAAAGTTTATGCAAATATTGAATTTTATGAGACACAAACAAATGAAATGGCCAGGAGGTACATCAGAGGACAGAAAAAGATGGCACAAACAAGACTAAATGTCATAGATTTTTCATTAAACCATGACAAAGAGTTAAAGTTGCGTCACGGAAATTTTGCCATATTCACGCTCGAGGCAAGGGGAAAGAACAAATCATGGAATGGTCATGTGAGATCATCAACACAGCATGACATCACATCACAGCATTACATCCTCAAAGAGCAGGACATCAACACTCCACACGATAAACACCTTGCATTACATCATCAACACACAGCACAAAATTGTCAACATGTCACAAGATCGTCAAAACATCGTTAATAACACTCCACGTGACAACACCTCGCATAACACGGACCAGGGGTCGGCTCTTTAAGGACTGCTTCGTGACGAAACTTATTAAGGACCACCTTCTCGTATTCACCATAGTGCAATGCGCGGCTCTTGAAATAGAGTTTTTTTTACCGAATTTGAAAAAAATGGCTGTTATTTTCGTTGCCGACCCCTGACATGAACGCACAGCATGACATCATCAGCGATGGACATTACCAACGGGGGAGGGGGCATCACCGTGGGCGCTCGCACCTTCCTCCTCCTTGGCCTCCTTGTTGGAGGTGGGGAAGCAGGTGGAGACGCACGCGTGCAGGACGTTGCGGTTGCCGTCGCAGCGCTCGTGTGGGATGTTCTCCACCTCGCCGGCGTCCAGCTCCATGAGCAGGCTCTGCTCCATGCCCAGCAGCGCCAGTCGGCACGCCTCGTAGTCGCACCGCAGCACCGGCGTCAGCAGCGGCTGCTTCTGCTCGGCGGGAAATTCAAGGCACAGGTTCGAGCATCGATCACCTGTATGTATGTTGAACTTCTTTTCGCACCGTACGAAGCCAACAGTGCTAATCAGAGGCGCGGGGCAAGGACAACAAACTAAACACTGGCCGAGCCACCTCACTGGCTCAACCTGCCCCGATACAAAAGTCGGTCAGGTAGGGGTAGAGCAGAGCGCGCAAAAATGCCTCGCGCCGTCCCCACAATTTTAAATCATCCCCCATGCTGCTGCTTCCTCACAAGCTGCCCTCCGCGTTTTAGCCACCTCTCAAAGCTGCTCTCCATGTTGTCACCGCCACCTCCTGTGAGACTCCCCGTCCACGCTGCCGCCCCCCCTTTGCAACAACCCTCAATGCTTCTGTCCTCCTCGCTGCATCCCCCCGCCCCCTTCCACCTTTTTCCATCGTGCGTGCCACCTTAATTTCAGGCCAGTCTCTGTGCTACGACTTTCCTTTGGGGTAACCCTCAAAGCCAACTTCCCCCTCTACCCTTACCACCTTCCATATTGTCACCACCACCCTCCCCACCTGGCACTCTCCAAACAGGAGACGAGTAATGACCCCCTCATAAATCACCCTTCATGTTAGCCGCCTCCCCGCCGCCCGCGGCCTCACCTCAATGGCCATGACAATGACGGTGGCCTTTTTCTTGATGGAGGAGTTGGCGGGCAGGTTGGTGAGTGCATGCAGGCCCACGCCCAGCGAGCGCACTGGCGGCAGGTCCAACCAGTCAGGGTCACGGATGCCGCCCATGCAGTCGCGCGCAAGCGGATAGAGCGTGCCATTACCGTCGCGCAGGATCACCGGTGACTCCTACACACACGGGGGAAAGGGTTGGATCAGTGTTTTTCATTGCAAGGCCCGTGGGACACTGGCGGCCCCGAGTGGCCTTTAGTGCGGCCCCCCACAATACACAAATTTGAAAACACCCCATGCAGCTGATGTGACGGCCCCCTCACACTGATGGCCACCCTTTGAAAATTAGTGAAATACACTGGCTTAGGTCATTACTCAGGACCAGGCCAGTTTGGGTAAAGAATACATTTGTTGGGTTTTTATCAGTGTAAGCGTCTCTCTGCGCAAACGAGCATTGGAGAGGCAATAATCTTGGGTGGACAAGACGACGTTGCTGTTGCACCGAGGGAGTGGTGGAAATTCCTAGATCCAACGACATGGGATGGTCTCTCCATAAGAAAGCTGCTTTTTACGTTCAACAAAGTGGTACTTACTGTAATGATCCCAGAAGTAGGGGCTAAGTTTACCTCCAACCAAGATACAAAACTGGAATGTTCCAGTTGCTTCTAAAGCAACTCCAAGGTGGAATATGGTGAGGGATAAGTGCTACAAATGTTAGGGAATATGAACTCATTATCCAAGTACCATTAAAGCACCATGTTTGTGGCACCCAGCTCAAAAATGTCAGCAGTGCTGGCCATTAAAAACGATTGCTGTGCTATTACAAGCCACTCTGCCAATGCTTGGCTCAGTGGCTTAATAAGCGTGGCCATTATGTGCACTGTGAGAGAGAGCAGACTCTGTATGAGCAGGTAAGCATGCATGTGTGTGTGCGTGCGCGCATGTTGCACCTGTCCAGCGCTGTAGATGGCAATATTGTGCTCGTCCTGACCCAGCAGAGCAGCGCTGCTCGTTGGAAAGTTGTTCTCCTGCTCGGGTTTGCACGTCGCCAAGTCGAACAGACAGTAGCGAACCCAGGTCCCTGATCGCAGCACAGTGTGCACGCCTGCACCGCACGTCACACACACGACACACATACATCAACGCGGCATCTAATGCACATTACCACTTGTGACATACACACATGCACAACACGTCGGGCCCGTCACCGCCATCGGTGCTCGAGTGTGATGGACATAAGTAGTAGGAAGATGTGTGCAATGTGCATTAGTACTGTGGAGAGATACGTGTGCAATGTAAATTAGTCATGTGGGAACATAGGTGTGCAATGTATATCAGTACTGTGGGGACATAGGTGCGCCATGTACATCACTACCGTGGATACATAGGCAGCCGTGCCTGGTACCTGTTGCGCACTCTGCCATCCTGCAATGGTACTCACAAACAACACTTGCCTCAACAGCCTGTAGACAGCTAGACAGGGGACCCTCATATGTATGCATACACTAATACAGCATGTGTGTGTGCGCGTGCGTGTGTGTGCGTGCGCCCACCCTTGGCATCCACGTTGAGTGCCAGGATGTCTGCCTTGTCCGGCACAGACATCTTGCGCGGCGCTCGCTGGAAGCAGTCGGGCACCTTGGGGGCCCCGCCGCTCTTCACCACCTACGCAGGGGTGGGGGGGTGGGGCGGCACGTGCAGCGACCGAGTCAGAGATCACGCGGCAGCTCGACCCACGGGACACCGCACGAGACATCCTCCATACGGAGCGCAGTGCCCAGAGACTCTCCGTCGACGATGCCATCGCTCGTAACGCGCTGGGAACCGGGCACGTAAAAACTTCCGCGCCACCTCACGATTCGATTGACTGCAGCAATTCTCGATAGCGATTAACCAGGTCGTTCTTCTTTGGCCATGTGGTGAATTTAGCGCCGCCGGTGGCTCCCGACACATGAAGGAAATATATACAATAAAGATGCGTTGTGCATTACATGTGAATCAATGCATAATTACACGCCTGCTAATGATGTTAAGTTTTTATTACACGAAAATTTTCACCTGACCACTCAATGAAAGGTCCTGATTCTGGGGTAACAATTGAATTCAAAAAAATATTCATTTGTAACGTACACCTCGTAAATATTTTTTATTTACTTCTCTGGAGTTTACCCCCTTCGCCCAACGGTATACTTGCATACAATTTGCATGAACTGTAAATAATACAATCCTTTGACCCACAGTTGAATGCATGATTCTGAGCGGAGGATTGCATTTTCAATGACAGCGACGATAACAATGAACCGATGCCCCGATGACTCGCATGACAAGCGTTTAGCAATCATCAGACGCGCACAGCGTGTAACGGACTCCCCCACCCAGCTCGCACCTGCAGCTCGTCAATGCGGAGGAGGCGGCAGTCTTGCAGGAGGGACGTGGGGTCCGGGTCGGGCCCTGGGGCGGGGGGCACGACCACCGCGCTGGCAACGGGGCCGTTGGCGCCGGGAAACCTCACGGCCACGTACGCCCCATCCACTTTGAGCACCTGCGGGCAGGCAAAGTGTTTGTGGGGGTATAATTAGGGTTGACCTGGCACAAATGTCACGGGTGACATCACCGCCACTTGATGGCAAGCAGCTGTTGTCGTGTTATCTTTATCCACTTGTCCTGTGTGTATGCTGCGTGTTGCTGTATATGTCACTGGCATTCATTGAGCTTAAACAATCTACGACCATATCACCCTAAATGCACTGCCAATGTCACATCTCCTAAGCTAGGCATTTGATCCTGGTTAGTACGTGGGTGGCAGAATGCCTGTGAATACCAGGTGTTGTAGGTTTGGTCCTGTGAGGTGGCCAGACTATGGCAGGACAGCAGTAGACAATTTAATATTCCTTTGTATGCGTCTGTTTTCTCTGAATAGAGAATCTTGATTTAACACGGGCACAGCCGTCGACGACATTCAAAGTGAAGGGGAGCGCAAATAAACCTCTCGCGCCACATGGCATGTGGGGGCGAGGGCATGGCGCTCGATGGCTTTGAAGTTGTTGTGAGCGAGCAAACGAGGCCACGACTTCATTTTCAAGATACGATGATTATCGATAATCCAATTTCCTTTAACTTTGTCATTGCATTTCAAATTTGTATCTTAATGTTTTTGTCCCCTACTGTACTTCAAGTACGAATAAAGATTACCGATGACATTGTCAAATGGAGTTCTCAACACAAACCTTCCCTAAGTCTCCAACTCATTGCAACTTTAAAAGCTAAAATGCATATCATGCACATTACATAAAAAAAATGTATGGTGTCGTACAACTGAAGTAGATCACTCTGGGAAACATTCTGAAAAGTACTGATTGAATGTGTAATAGCTATTTTAAAAGTTGAAATATTGTGCCATTTATTATTTCAAATGTAAAAGAAAAAATGAACCATCATAATCATCACAATGACATATTACAAGGCGATATGATCATTATCGACCTTGTAACGTACGATTGTAGTTTCTCCAGAGACTACGTACACACCTTGCCCACCGGTACACTCTTCACGTCTTCCACAAACACCACCTCCTTGAGGTTCCACTGCTCCTCGTTGTGCTTCTCCTCCTCACGAGAGCTCGCCGTCGGGCGCTTGCGCTCTGGCAAAACAAAACGAGGGCAGCTTCACATTCACCGGATTCGCATGCGTACCACAACAAAAACACCTTTACACCCCTTTTCCACTGGCACAGCCGAGCCGTGCTGACGCCATGCCATCGAGGGTTAGGAGGCGGCAGGTTGTTTTGCCACTATAGAAACTGAGCGGTGCTGCTAATGCCGCAGCAGGCAATCTGCGAGGCTGAGACGCACGTAGATGACATTGAGTCGGCTTGTGTCCTCACAGGGTACTGACGGACGTCACATGGGGCAAACACGTCATTAGCATGGCATGGAAGATTGCCAGTGAAAAAAAATCGCCCATACCGTAAAAGCACCGCGCTGGCTCGACAGTGCCAGAACTTGAGATCACAATGGCAAGTGACAATTTTTATGGCCAAGTTGACAGTCCAAAAGCCAAGGTTATGTACCAACAGCCGAGGTGATATCCCAGGAGCCCAAGTGATGTCCCAAGAGTCCAGTTGACAACTCAACAGCTCAGGCGACACACCCCCAAAGTCACCAAGAGCCACTCACTGTAGGGCAGCGATGCGCTGCTCGCGATGGATGAGGTGTCACTGCAGGTTGAGGCAGGAGACGGGGGAGGTCCCATCTCGGTGCGCACGTTGTCTTGCTTCTGCTCGGACCTGCTTGAGATCACACATGGCAACATCCATTATTTAGCCGGGCGACGCTGCATTGACATTCACTGGAGATAAATATTTCCAAGCTAAGAATGGATATTGTTACAGAGGGATGGTTCTTACTACATTAACATCTTTCAGTCGTCAGACTCAAGTGAGAAGGCTCCCAAAAACAAATAAATAGCTTTTTAATAACCATCTACAACCACATCACCCGTTCATGAACTAAGAAATTCGGTAGCGGTAGGAGAGTGAGTATGTGAGGGAGTGAAAGAGTAGTGAGCAATTGAGTTCATGAGCTAGTGAGCGAGTTTCTGATCCATTGAGAGTCTGTGACCTAATGCTCGGATATATAAATGAGTTAATGAGCGAAATATTAAGTTGGTTAAGACACTAGTGAGCGGGGGAGTTCACGAATGAGCGAAAGTGTTAATAGAGCGAGCGAGTGAGTCAGTGATCGAGCTAGTGAGCGTGCGCACTTGGTGTCGGAGGCCTTGGGAGTTCACGAATACGCGAAAGCATTAATAGAGCGAGCGAGTGAGTCAGTGATCGAGCTAGTGAGCGTGCGCACTTGGTGTCGGAGGCCTTGGCGAGGCGGTCGAGGGCCCGCAGGCCGTCGGGCGAGCACACGCGGAAGCGGCAGCAGTCGTTCATGTTCCACACCGACTCCTGCAGCACGCCCACCTTGGGCACGCCGGAGCTCACCGAGAATGCCACCGCACCCGCCTGGTACACCGGGTTGTTGCGCATGCACACCTACTCGCACACGACAAAGATTCCCCCCCCATGTAGCCAAAACATAATTTTGGTTGGGGCAAGTGCTGTTTAAGCGAGTACCCATGAAGGCCGGCACGCCACACGAGGGGATGGGATGTTAGCACCACATCCGTCTGCGTTTGTCTCCCCGGTGCTGTTTTTACACATCACACCAGGTACTCATTTATGGCTGAATCTACGTAAACGATTATTATCGTTTTTACCACATCATTTACACATTTTGCACTCTCCATTTTGGTTTTATCCAGGGCACCCCTACTTTACATTTTCTCCAACATTTGACTTTCGTGTAACAATGGGAATAAAACATTTTTAAAAACAAGGTAATCACAGTGTGGGGCCCTCTATGCAGGGCCAGATTAAAGCAGGGGGCTTTAGGGGCTGCAGCAGCCCAAGGTCTCTGACTTTGAGGGGCTCCTCAATGGACACAAACACACTGATTTACTATCATCAAAATGCAATACAGCAGCACTATGATAAATCCTATAGGTCGCGTGGGAATTAAAACCAAAGCATCACGTACCGATATTAAAATGGTTTTAGAGGTTTCGGCTGCGATGTAGTTTTATAATTCATCATATCACTTTGAAAAACGAGAACTGAAATAACCAAGGTGAATAACAATGGAGCGTTTGGTACTGGGCATGGGTGGTGATATAACAGTTGGGGGGGGGGGGGAGGAGGGAAGAAATTGAATAGGCAAAAAGGGGGTCAGCCCCCAGCTCTGGAAGGCTCCCCCCCCCCCCCCACCGCACCCCCATCAAACCGAATCCGGCCCTTGCTCTGGTACGGCGGTCAGTGCCGACCGACCTGAGTTCCCACGGTGATGTTGGTCATGGAGGCGACGCCGGCGCTTGTCTTGGACTTCTTGTTCTTGGCGCGTGCCTTCTCCAGCAGCTTCTTGCGCTGGCTGAATGGCACCACGCCCCTACGGAGGCCAAAGCAGAGGTGCACACAAGGCTGCAATGTCTCCGGATGTGGAACGTTGAATAGATTTTACCCGACAGACTCTAATTTATTTTTCGCTTATTTTTCTAAATAAAGCGCAATTCAGTAAAGCCTCGGCTAGTCGGGTAAATAGGGTCGATGCCTGGCCTGGCGAGCTGGAATTTCTGGCAAGCTTCTACATGGATGAGAACCTCTGTATATACATCACAAATACTTCTCTACATTATAAACACGTCTACAATGCATAAAATATATTTTTATGCAATTATTATATCTTAAATACAATGAAATAGAGCATAACAGTTTTAAAATCTACATTGCCGTTCCGTGTATTTGTGGAGCTGCGCTGTACTGCGTGGTATGGTTACGTACTCACCACTGGGGTGTATTGCCCTCCAAGAGGTAAACCACATGGCATCCTCATTCAATAAACCCAGAAATAAAGTGAACAAAAAAATGAGAAAAGAAAATGCTAAAAAGGGAGAAAAAAATAACAATAAACCCTAAAAAGGTGTGAAAAAAATAACTGACAGTCTAACTCCCGCATTAAGCAAAGCTACGGAAAGGAGCGGTAATGTGCTGCAAAGCAAGTGGCAGGCCGTGGGTGCAAGGGTACCGCTGCCACGCCTGCTGGCGCTACCAGCATTGTCCTCTCGTGGCGCCAGAGGCTGCGTTGATTTATTTCATTATTTATCCAGCATTGGTGTGGCTTCATGAAGTCCGGCTAGCCGGGTTTTACTGTAATGTGGAAAACATATATAAGAGTGACAGAGCGCCAAAGAGTGTGGTGTTGGATGAAACAGGTTCCCGAGTTCCATACAGCAAATAAGTACAGTACAGCACGCAGCATTTCGAATTGCTAGTTAAATGCATGAATGCTTTCAGTTTAATTATCATGGGCTTGGTGATCCGGTGGGAGATTTAGATTTATTTAATTTTGGACAACTCAAACTTTGGCTTCAAAAGGTTTTACACCGTGGGTTCCATCCAGATGTCTAAGTGAATTTAATCAGAATTTTTCTATTTATTTTAGTCAGTCTTTGTGTCTAGCCAACAAAATCCTGTGGCAATTTAGTCCAGTCTCTGGACTTTTCGTAATCATTATTTTAGTCTAGTTGACTCAAGCAGTCTAAAAAGTAGCTCATTCTTTGTACTTAAATGAACCACGAACAACCACTCGTGTTTATTATTTCATTCTGAGCTTCTGCAGAATTTTCCTTTGGAATATATCATTGTGCTTAACTGCTTCACGTAACCTTCATGTTTACGAGTTCAATTTATATCCTCCTATTCATTTATATTATCTCCATGTACAATGGTCGTATTATTATTGTCTTCAACAGAGCAGTCTTGGCTCTAGCAGAGGCTCAAGTGCCACGTAGAGCTAAGTGGCTCTTCCGGGATTGGAGAACGAACCCATTCCAGCTAGGCACCTGGCAAGAGGCGGGACTAAATGTGCCCCCTTCACCAACACGCACTGACCAGCAGCATGTTAAAATATGGTCAACCCTCCGCCATGACTTACCGCACCTAAACAATGGCCCCCCCCCCCCACCTCCTCCAAATTTCCAGACGTTCTGAAACCACCAGCCACTGCACCAGCTGGGTATGTGAAGCAGAAACGTTGGAAGCTACACATTGTAAAAGATGCAAAGTGTGACCTCGTTGCTTTATTAAGGTGCACGATAAGTCCTCACTTAACAGGTATTCACACATTTTCACTATAGTGCGGTTCTTCGGGAACACTTTTCAAACAATGCGGAACGTGCCCGTTATAACACAGAAGGCGCCGCCGATTCTAGCGTGGTTTCTGAGTGGTCGACAATGAACTACTTTCTAGCAGTTGCGCGGCCAAGCAGTTCGGAACAATACGCGGAATGATACAGTACGCAGCGGCATACCCTCAGTTCCTTGTCCCACCATCTCAATACGTGCGCGCACATAGCATCTTGCCAAACTTTATGGCGAAATCGTTTTGTTAATGCGTTTTTCGCTTTAACGCGGCGCTTTTCAGGAACGCATCTACCGTGTTAAATGAGGAATTACTCTACAACAGGGAGGGGGGGGGGGTGCGTTGGCGTACCACCAGTGCAGCGAGCCCGACTCGAGCCGCACGCACGTGTACAGTGCGCAGCAGTGCAGCGACGCGATGCGGTCGCCCTGCAGCTCGGGGAAGAGCTGCGCCGCATGCTCCAGCTTGCTCCCCACGGGCGTCAGGCTCTCGTCCATCCAGGTGGCCACCTTGCCCGACTCCGTGGCGACGGAGGCGCGGATGCTGCTGGCCGACAGCAGCACCACCACCTCGCTGGCGAGCGCCAGCCCCGGCGCGCGCGGGTGGTGCACGGCCGGGTTCTGCAGGCGACACAGGAACGCGCGCGAGTAAGCGGCGAAGAACGACCGACGGGACGGCAAAGGCAGGAGATCTATATATGGTCAACTTCTTTCGCACTGTACATAGCCAACCATGCTCATCGGAGGTTCGAGGAAAGAGGAATGGAGGCACACACAAACGATACAGTAGACGGAGACTTCCACTGCAGGATTGATACAAGACGGTGAACTATCTACAAATACCAAGGATGCCTAAGTACGAAATACAGGTAATCCCCGACTTACGATGGTCCGACTTACGATGTTTCGATCTTACGATGGCGATAGCGATATGACAAAATTGTAAAAGTTTTAATTTCACGCGGCAGGCAAATGCAGCAGCGTACGAGGTACGATACTGTACTTTATCATTGCCAATCTCCTCTTCCGACAACTAAGTTAATATAGCCATCAACAACCTAACATCGTTCAAGTGTGCAGCCGACGGACAGAATCTTGGCGAGTACAGTACAATATGATACGTTACGATACGTTCAATGCATGTATGATACATAGCTTTAGCGATTTCATTTTAGGGTTACCACGATAAGATACATACGTTCAATGCATGTTAAAAGTTTTTATAGCAGATAGGATTGTTTCCTGAAAAAACTTTCTATGAAATTGCAGTTCATATAGGTAGGCTAAGAATTTACCTAGTTTTTTACTTAAAATGTTACTGTGCAATACAGTATTGTAATTAATAAATACATACAGTAGTTATTACAGTACGGTACTGTAAATTGCTCTGTTTTGCTAAATTATCACCATTCTTTAAGATTCCTGGGTAGGCTAGGACATTTTCGACTTACGATATTTTCGACTTACGATGGGGTTGTCGTAACGCATCTCCATCGTAAGTCGGGGGACTACCTGTACATACATAGCCATAATAACGTATGGGCAAAGTGATGTTGGCAAGTACCTAATATGGCCGGCACTGAAGATAACGACAACATGCCCAGCCACCTTTGTCTCTCCAGTGCTTAAATGTACACACTTAACTACTCATTTAAGTCCAAGTTGACCAATTCAGATTTCCCTTTTCCTTACAGCCAAATTCACTGTGATAAGTGAAGTTGGGTGTAACGTCACAGCCAAATTCACTGTGATAAGTGAATTTGGCTGTAACGGTTCCACCTGAAGACCGGAAGCTTGTGTTGCCTCCGAAACGTCGTGATTTAATTTAGATGCTTTTTTCCTTGATTTATTTTTCACCTACGTGACTTCGCTGAAAAAACCAAAGAGTATGAATCCTTGCAGTCACAAAAACTTCAAATCTAGAATTCAGAACACGTAACGAAATGAAAAAACACAGCTATAAGAGATGAAACAGGACACCCAAACACAAAATGACAGATGAGAGATCACAACACACACAAGCAAGGCTTGGAAACTTATACCAGAAACAACGCACACAAAGGGTAAAAAGGCATGTTGACAAAAGGCATCTGCGCAGGAGACAAGTCAAACACACAGAAAGAATATACGCACATCCATAAAACAAAGATCCCCCTATTTCATAGACTAACGACAAGCTGTTAGCGAGTTCCTACGAAGGCCGGCACGGCACACAAGGTGGGTGGCCAGCACCACGCCAGACCGCCTTGGTCTCCCCAGTGGCCATGTTTACACACAGCACTAGGTATTCATTTGAGGCCAAGTCAACCCTGGGGCGGTCCAGGACCGGTTCAAATACTGGTGTTTTAGCCGAGTGGGAATCGAACCCGGATCGTAGTCTTCATACAGCACAACTGTTCCTCCCATCGCAAACACACACACAGCAATACACATGCGCAAGACCACTGGACACACAAAGCACAAGTAGACACACGGAGATCGAGGTGAGCGTGCTGCATGCCTGTGCATTGCGGTAGGGTTCAGTCTCCGCCCACTTCCACTGGTAGAGCTCCCCCTTGCTGCTCACGGCCACGAGCTCCGAGAAGAGCGCTCCGATGAGCACAAAGCGTGGGGCGCCGTCCTAACGGGACGAAAACACACACAAGCACGCACACATATAGATGACACAAAGCGTTGGTGCAAGCGCCGTCAGCGAGCACGTGCCGATACACACACACGTATACATTTACACGGGTAGGCATATATGCACAAACATGTACAAATGCAAATTAACATATACAAACACCCCCAGTGGAGCCTTAGCAGACCGTTGGAGCAAGTGCTGTAAAAGCGGTCACCGATGAAGGCCGACACAGCACGCGAAGGGGGTGGTGCGAGAAGGACTACGCCTGGTCACCAGTCCCAATGGTTGCACAGCGCAGCTGGTACTCAACGAAGGCCGAGCCAATCCTGGCTTGTTCCCGTCGCTGCCGTCGCCGTACCTTCTCGTGCCACCACTGTAGCTCGTCCCCGAGCGACACCGGGCTCTGCGCGCCGTGCGCTCCGTGCTTCTTGTCTGCGGCGGCCGCGGCGGCGGCCGCTGCGGCAACGGCGGCGGCCGCGGCAGCCGCGGCGGCCGAGTCAGCGTCGCGGCCTCCGGCGGCGCCACCCGCCCGCTCGCTGTCGAAGGACGCGCCGTCGAGCCAGCGGCGCTCACGCAGGCGCAGCACCGATTCGCGCTCCCGCAGGAGCTCCGAGTCGCGCTCTAGAGGAAGAAGAAGAACTGGTATGCGGGGGCGGTCACACCAGTGGGAGAGTTCAGGGTCAGCCGCCACACGGGCCACGCGCAAGCAAGCAGGCAAGCAGGCAAGCAGCACTCAAATGTCTCCGTCAAGGGACCGTCACTATCTGCTGCTGCGTCTCCATTTGATAGTGGGCGAGTGTCTATGCGGGCGGCGAATTTGAGCCCAGGCTGTGTTCATCCGTTTATTTGTTGGTTGGCCTCGGTGGAATAAAAAGGAAACATATTTGTTTATTCAGGGAGGCCTTTTGGTTGTCTCATGATTTTGAGAAGGATCCTGTGTTGGGATATATAAAAACGTTCCACTGGCTCGTGAATCCAATTGCCATACTGCCATGTCCTGGCTGGCACACAAATCTAAGCAATCCACCAATGATTGCCTCCCTAGCACTGGGTAAGAGACGTGCATTGCCATGCCTGGGCACGTTCACCGAGCTTGCGTTGTTTGTGCTCACCGAGTTTGTCGAAGGCACACACACAGCGATCTTTTTTTTGCACACTAAGCAAGGGAGTTAAGAGTTATTTCTATTTATGCTTTCTACTTCCTGAACGGTGGGACACCACCACGTGTAACGTGCAGAGAATAAAGAATCACACTTCTTGTCGCATCCTTATGACTAATGTATACAACACCTATCAGTGTGCCCATTTGATTTATTTCCTGATGTTCACACACCTTACTTGCTGCAATTGCAAATCTGCCAGAGTTGTTTTTTTTTACTCATGTGGGTGTTTTAGTTTCATAAGTGCCAATGAACACGGGCATTCAAATATTGGTTGTAACTTTGCTCGTGTTAATGTGGCAAACTAACATGTCAGCAGGTGCTGCAAGTCCTCTGTGCGGATGGTGGATCATGCCGAGATGTGTGAAAATCCAAATCCGTCCAGGTTGTGAAGTGGCCACAATATTGCGGGACAGCAAGTGGGTGTGAACCGTTGAGCGATAGCCCCTCTGTGTATGGTGCATTTTCTCTCGGTATACAAATTTTCTCCTATATGCAAAACATTGCCTGTAAAGGAAATGGCTAAACAATATGGAACCACCTTGACAAGCAGCCTTGAGACTCGGTAAGGCGTTGCTGGATAAACAAACGATGGTTGTCCGAAATTTAAGCTGGTGGCCAACTAGTGGAGGTAAAAATAATGTAGCTTAAGATCAAAGAGAATACAAATGTGCCGATCTAAATATTTTACTTTTAAGGCAGTATAATTGATGTGTCAAGGTTTTTGTTACATCTGTCACCTCAACTTGCTTCTCAAGTGGGTTTTATTTTAATTCAAAACAAAGTTTTGTACAGATGTGCACCTCCAAATAATGCAACTCGTCAACGCACACACCTGGCATCTTACAATAAAAAATATAACTTCAAGAGCATGTGGTCTGAACTGTCCCATAAAATTGCTAAATAAACTGTATTCAAATGTTCGGAGCTGGAAATGACCAAACATTATGCACAACTGTTACCGAGTCTCCATACCGAGTTTGTCAATGTTGGTCATAAACATTATCGTAATAGTAGTCTTCATGACAACCTAATCCATCATCCAAAGCCACCTTCATGGCTATCAATCATTAATCATCACCATCCCCATCATATCAATCAGCAATTATTCAAGTGACCACGAACCATCGGTACCATCAGCATCACGGCTATCATGATCATCATAATCACAAAGCATCGACACAATCAATCACGAGCACCATAATCATCGATTAAAGCTTTAACGAATAGAATCACCAAAGCATATACACAAAACTGAACTTGTAAAAAAGAGTTGAGCATCCTCTCTGATCGCAAGGAGAAATCAGAGTTTCAACATTCTCTTTCAAACCAGGCCAGCAATGACAAAGACAAAGATCCCGTCAAAGCAGGGGGCCTGGCAAACACTGTGGTCCAACACAGTCAAGACAGCGTTTAATAATCTCATTATTGTGACCGTTTTCCTGGAGCTGTTGTTATCACAGCACACCATAGATAGATTGCGAGCGGTCTCCGTTAATCCCACGAAAACTAGGGCAAGTTTAGGGCAATCGCCTCCAGCAATTGTTGAGCAAGTTGATGCAACAATATTTTCTATCGACTAAAATTACGTGCCCAAACGTCGACGAATATGATCACTGCTCCCCCTAGTGTCAAACTGCGACGACAGCTTCCAATCAGATCGCAGAGGTCCGTGACAAGAGGTCTGTGTGATCAGAGGTTGTGTGCTCTTCTTTTTAAGGACAGGTGTCTAAAGTAACTGATAATTTGAAGCACAGGTGGGATCGAGATAAATGAAAAATATCGTATTAATAATTGCTCACGGTCAACATTATTTGTTAAATATTTCATTACTCAAAGTCACTGTGGCCCCGACCAGCTAACATTGATAAATGCACTGTTAGTAACAACTGCCAGCAACCACCATAACATTGTCCTGGTATTACATTTACATGTATATATCTCATGGCCTGTACGGAGGGGTGTGCAGATACACGATGGAGAATTCCATGGGTCACGGGGTCACAGGGTGAAGGGTGCCCTACCTCGGGAGCCGAGTCGGGAGAGCGCTGAACGACGGAAAGACGGGTATCCGAAATAACTTATGTCGTCCGAGAACATGGCATCGGCGTCGATGATGACGCTTGGGTGCGCCAAGTGCATATCCGCGTCCAACAAGGACATCAGGTCCTCTGTTGCGCAAACACAAGCACACACGTGCACGCACGCACGAAAAGGAGGGGAGTGCAGAATCAAGTTGGACTTTGCGTCCGTCCATACACAGGCAACTCGCACGTACCACTGTGACCTAACGCATTTATTGTACACTTTTTCATGCAATAAATAAGAGAACAAAACACCACAATGATCACTTCACATTGTAATTTAACAAGGTTATGGAGCAAGTTATTTTTGTAATTACTCATGGAGCTTTAGAATGACTTTAGTTCAAGAGTGACCCGTGCAACATTAGTCGCGGAGCAGAGCACCACCGTGATTATTAATGGTAGCCTTATAACAAACATAGAGTACTGTAACGTTTCAGGCAAAGGCCACTGCAGGCAGCACAGATGTTTTAGCAGAGTAATGCACTCCTTCAGCAAATCCTCACCGCCCGTTTTCAACTGCAATATAAACAGTCAATTCGTTTATTAGATGTGGCAACCTCGGACCGGTTTCGACTTTACCGAGCCTCATCAGTAAAGAGGGGAGGGGGGACACTCAAAAACCAATGCCACTTGCAGCCCCAATCTCATGGGCTGTGGCCTCAAGAACAACTAATCTGGAACACGGCCCAGAGGCGATTAAGTTGAATAAGTTCAATGTAATTTTCTCTCCTGTGATCAAACAAACCCCCCCCCCCCCTTTACATAATTCATAGATGGGGGAAAGCAAAAGAAAGTTAAAAACTTTGAGCCTAATTCATGTGTTGGTAAAAAGGACATCTTCCGCCAATATTTGGATTTTCCAAAAGGCCACAATGAAGCTATTTTCTGCCAACTGCAACAACCAAACAGCTTTTATCTTGTGTATATATATATATATATACACACATGCACAACTGGGCTGTGTGTCCCAGATGATAGACACAAGTTTGAAACTTTGTAAAAAATTCTATTTTACGGTCAAGCGTGCCACCACGGTGCTCCAATTATGTCGGCAGTGGCACAGCAGCAATGCCACCGACATCTAACACCACATTCATGACGTCTCCATTTAGTCTGCAGCTTCTGCCAAGATCCTGATCGCTACTAGGAGCTGCTTTCATCTGGTAGATAGAATCAATGTGCTGCTATTAGGGTGCATCATGTTTTCTTATGCCAAATATTAGCGGAGATTTCCGTCAAATCAGCCGAATCTTCAGGGGGTTTTGTGCCGCATGTTTCCCCCCGGGAGCGCAGACGGGCTCGCACGCACGCACGCACGCACGCGCGATACTCACCGCCCGGGAGGTAGGACTCACTGGCAGTGTCATCGCCATCATCGCCGTCATCGTCGTCCCGGCTCAGCAGGTTGTTGACGGCGAGGTTCACGTCCAGGTTTGTCCTCTGCAGTTCACGGATAATGACGTTGCGCGACTTCCCCTGCAATACCATTTGTGCCTGTGTGGGGGAGGGGAGGGCATGGAGCGAGGGAGGTGGGAATAGTATGATGGACGCAGTGGTGGAAAGGGAGTGGGGGAGCAAGGGAAGGATGAAAGGATGGGGATGGAGAGATGAGAATGGGAGGGATAGGGTTAACATGCAGTCCAACCTGAAACTACATCAGAGAGAAACTGGGATGGCTGCTTGCAATCAGATCTGAGGTCACATGACTACTAGTGGCAATTGCCCTGAAGTTTCTCAAGTGTATGATCGCCTTTAGAATGTATTAAATCCCCCACGAATGTGGCTCCAGTAAAACGCAGAAAATAAATGTGAAAACCGGCAGACCACAGCAAGAGAGGAATAGTGGGAGAAAACGAGCACGAGACAGCGAGAGCGTGCGAACTAGAGGAAGAGAAATAGAGACAGAGGAAACAAGCGAGAGCACAAGAACGAAGGAGAGACACAGACTGCGATAGAAATAGTGAGAGGAAGAGGAACACAGTGAGAGAAAACGAAAGCACGAGTCCGTGAAAGAGCAGAAGAAAGAATAGACGGAAAAATAAACAGTGCGATGGAAAAACCGAGTGTGAGAGAGGAAGAAGCGAGTGTGAGCCGGCTGGACACGCGTGCGAACACGTCCGACCTGCGAGATGAGCTCCTCGGGGATGGCGGAGGCCGGCACGACGGGCTGGCTGCCCAGCAGGGCCGAGCTGCGGTCGCGCCCCGTGCGGATCACCCGCGTCTGCCGCCGCGAGTCACGTGCTGCCGCAGACGAGCGGCCCGACGTGCCGCCCACTCCTGAGCTCCACCGCCTAACAGGGGATACGTCCATCATCGTCGTCGTTTTTTTCATCTTCACCATCGTTGTCGTCGTCATCGTGATCGTGTATCATCGATTGGCATGTGATGTACTCTGCGATTCATATTTATTACAATACTTTTCAACAGCGGACCACACATCGTAGTCAATGTTGCCATTAGGCATGTAACATGGACACGCTATGCGGATGAGAATCAAAAAGTAAAACCGGGCCAAGATGTCACATTCATCAAGTGGAAAACAATGGCAAGACTGAAGGACCTCAACGCTATTCTATGGTATTTTCCAGTGGCATCTTTAAAATATCATTAATTATAATCTACAGCCTTGGTCAATCCACTTTTCAAAGGCCTCCTCATGCTGTATCGGTCATGGGGTTGTTGGACCACACCTCACCACGTTGATTAGAGCGGGTTCGTGAAGGGACAATATTAAACGGGTTTATAGCATAGTGCACTGAAAAACTAGGCACTGTGCAGCCCCCCACCCCCCACTATTATCTTCAAAGATATATAATACTCATCACTGAAGGATTATCATGAATAACTCATTTGTCTGAATAAGCTCCGCAGCACCAACAGTAATGACGAGTGTCAGGGCTGGGTTACCCGAGGGGGTGTCCGGCAAGCCGGCCCAGAGAGTCCGACCCCGACAGAAGCCACGGAGATTCGTTGTTTCGACCGAGGCGAGACGAACGCCCGGCACCAGGGGCCCCACTCGGCTTAGAACTGACACACGCACGCATGCACACAGGAACAAGTGCAGCATGCAGACACACACGTACACACATGTATACAGACACGTACACACATGTATACAGACACGTACACACATGCCAACACACACGGATATACAGACACATAGCACACATGCAGACACACCCACAGAGCACACAGAATACATATACACAAACACCCAAGCGCAGCCAAGCACACAGACAGAGAAAAGGGAGGAGAGACAGCAGATGGAACACTTTAGCTGAAATGGCGTGCGGAGATTGCGACGCAGTGCCAAGGAATTCCGCTGCCGATGAAACCGCTTGGCTGGGCAAACGGTTTTCCAGTGGCAAGCGGAAAGCCTGGCAGGACACGCCGGTGGTACCGTTTCGATGGGGCATCGCGCACGATGCACGTGTCCGCCGTGCACATGTTTGTGTTACAGCGCCGATAAGGGAAAGGTGATAACGTGCTGGGCACAGTCGCAACAGGCCAACGCTGTCAAAGGGCATCCCACACCGCCGTGGAATAATGTGGGTGGGGGGAACTGGGGGAAAAAGGGTGGGAATATTCTGAGTTATGGTGATCAGGGGTCATATGCACAAATTAAACTATGAACCCCGTTAACACCAAAAGTTATATTCTAGGCTGAAGTATCGGCCAGTAGCCCTTCCACAGCATTGAGAAGGCAAAGCGAACGGCTGATATAGATGGATATTATGCCAAAAAATTTAGAATTTCTAAGTGAACACAAAGTGCTTTCTACTGGTATTAATAATTTACCATGAGTAGACAAAGAATGAACAAAACACTTAAAAAATTAACTCACTTTCAATCAACAGTAACAGTATTCAATTATGCATTTTGAGGTTATATACTTTAGTGCTTGTGAACCACTGGCTAAGCAGCTCCTTAATTTTCTGTGTGAGAGTGAAAATACATCACAGCTGACGAATGGCAGCTCAGATGACCACACGCCAGTACCACATGTCTACTGGGTTCATGCACTCTGAGCTGTTGGTATGCGACAATGCATGAGGAGCTGCGTGTGTTTGGAGTCGCATTGCCCTTTAAGGGCTGATGAGGTGCGAGGGAGGGCAAGCGTGTGAGAGAGGTGAGTGCTGTGAGGTGCGAGGGGGAGGGAGGCGAGCGACTACATGCGTGAGAAAGTGGAGGACCAAACCTGGTGAGCAAGCACTTTAGCAAGGGGGTGAGAGCGAGGGCGGTGAGCAAATGCAGCGAGTAAGTGAGCTTGTATATGAGCAATGGCGATGAGCGAGGCCAGTGAGGGAGTGAGTGCGCGAGTGAGCCTACCCCTCCGAGCTGTCCGGCTTTCCAAGCTCCAGCCGCTCGGGGTGGATGGAGAAAGAGATCCGGCAAACGCGCCCATCCTGCGGTGGGGAGGGGGAACATGAGCATATGCAGGGAGGGAGTGAGGAACGATGGGAGAAATGGACGAGTAGATGGAGAAGCAAGATGTGGAGTTCAAGGGGAGAAAGCGATTGTATGGAGATGGGGAGATCGAGGGAAAGGTGAGATGAGAGAACCAGGATGGGGACAGGATGTGATCAGGGGTAGGGGTAGAGACAAGCAGGTGACAAGGGAGAATGTTGGGGAGCCAATAAGAAGATGGGAGTGAAGACAAGAAGAGATGTGGGGAGAAGAGGGGGAGATAAGGAGACAGGTAGGGAGAGGAGTGAAGGTGATGCGATTTCTGTAGCCACTGCTTGGGCGTTCCACAACCAGGGGCACCCGTAGGGAGTTCCACAACTGGGTGAACACCACACTAAACGCCCGATCACCACAAGAACATAATTGAGATCGAGTTCAAGGTTCATAAACATCCTGCCAGCCAACACATTGCACATTCTTTGTCAGCGAGTCATCCTTGCCCTTTTATAATGGGAGGCTGCTTATTGCTATGTCTGGGAAATATCATGTCTGTTCCTCCAAGAACAAATCATGTTTTCACAAAACCATAAAGCACAACAAAATTCACCACATAGCTGACCAACACCAATGCCCAGGTGTTAATTTTTTTGTAGTGTCAAAATAAATATTTAAAGAAAAGCATTTTGTTTTTATCTTCAAAGTGTAATGCCGTGCCGTGTACCAACAATTATGAGCTGTGCATTTAAATGCTAGCGCGTAGGTGGGAGCACACTCATGTGGTTTTAACGCATGACTATTTGTGCACTCAAACCCCTAAACAAAATAAATGTTTCGTTAATGGCCTCCTTTGTCAGCGTGCATGTTATTTTGTCCAAAAGCTCTTACCTCCAAGAGGAACGCGGCATGATTGGGTCCAACGACACACTGCTTGATCGGGGACTGCTCCAGACAGCTGAGCGCGTGATGGCTGTAAAACCAAAACAACAATTCCCATTAACCTCCACCCCGTTTTACTGGTTGAGAGCAAACAGACATGCATTGACCCGTGCAACAAGTAGCTTTAGTTTGACAATACAGCTATGGATTCTTCAAGCTATCTGTGCACAGCATTGAGTATTGACCTCTGGTATGCCTGTGTTTTCTCCAACATGCAAAAAGAACAATTATTCAAAAGCAAAACACATTGCCTCACCCAAAAATATATATTATGAATCAATTATTCAAGAAATTGGCAAAATATCCCAGTTAAAAATCCTCCTGAAAAAGTCGACTTGTTTCAGTTTTTGTGGTGTTAAATAATGGGCACTTTTAGCCATAAGTGAGATGCAACTATCAGATTCAAGGCTTTGGATTACAACATTGTGACAAAAAGCGTACATGAGTTTTGCTAAAAAAAGGTACCCAGGACACCCTCGAGTTGCTATCAAGCTCCAGTGGTCGTTTGTAGATCTCGGTTGCGGATGCTACAACCTTCATTTCGGGTTTTTCCGACTTGGGTGACCTATGCAGTTGGCTTCATTAAGAAACTGGCACGATTTGGCAGTGACCTCATCATCAGTGCTTTCTTCCCAGAAGAGCTGGTCTGGCAGGAGACCAGAACTGTTGCACTGTTGTCTTCAGATTTCATGTTAAAATGTATCTGAGAGTTGTATTCCTAGCCATGACTAAAATCAGTGGTCAAATATATCTGAAACTATCCAACCCCACTTGGAGAAGCAAGAACTATGGTCAAACAACACACAAGATCAAGTGTGAAGCCTCTATCCAGCAGTGGAAATACAAAGGATTGTACATTGTTACTATTCACTTTATATAACCATATGCATGGGCAATGAACATAATTTTTTTTCTTAAAAGAGTGAAAAGAAGCCAATTGGGCAGGCATAGCAAGCAGGAGGGGACAACAACTGGCTATCCTTTTTGCATACACTCCAAACCACAATAGGAGGCCCCCAGCTTCATAAAAAAAGTTATTTATAAAACAGGCAAGGCATGTGGTTGTGCAGAGACTATTTAAAGGTATGCATGTGGAAAGCACTTGCCTCACAGACGAAGACTTGGTCAGTTTATCCGACACCTCCCTCAACCTGAAAATACACACACAACACATGGGAAGGCTGGCACGGCGGAAGTGCGTCACTCAGAAATTAATTTCAGTCAGGTGTGTCTGGGTTGGTGAGCCAGGAAATGTGTGCATCTGACAAACCACATTCATAATACCTCTTGCTATGGATATGGCTAGTAGCATTATACCTACTCCAGGCCTATCAGCAACCTGTAAAATATTCCGGGAGAAATTAAGGCTTGTTGTACTTATTGTTATGACATATGGTTGATTTACGGCACAGGCCGAGTAACACCTCAATGATGAATGACAGAAACCTAGCCTGAACATCTGTGAGCTTTATAGCTCATCGGATTCCTCCAGTATAAATAAACATTCTGATCCTAATAGCCTGGTGTGGTGGTGGCTCGAGCACATGCCCTCCAAATTGGAAGACATGAGCTCATATTCCGGTTTTTGGTCAACTCCGTTGTGGCGAGATGTTATCTCCCTGGCATGGTATGCAGGGGCATGGGTTTCATCCCGGACCCTGACGATCCCTGTATATTTGGAGTTTGCATTATCTCTCCCCGTGGTTGCACAGATTTTTCTCCAGGTCCTCCAGTTTTGCCCTCCAAATTTAGAAATGTGTTTACATTATGTGGCTGCTCTGAATTCTCACATCTCCATGTATATAAAAGGCAAAGTTGTGAATATGTGTGTCTGTTCAAAATGTTTAGCGTACTTCCCGACATACGACAAACTGGAAATTTGCCATGTGGGTACTTTCCAGACTGTACACTTTGCAAAAATTATAAAAATACACTTTTGGTTTTTTTTGGGGGGGGTGGGGGGGGGCTCAATAATGCATATATTTTTAGCACAGCAAGTGAACTGTGATGTCAAATCTGTCACGTGACCCGCGCATGTGGAAGCGTAACGCATTGTAGTGTAGCGGGTAGCGCGCCGCGCTACGAACCCGGTGACGATTATTTTAACTGGTCCTGGGCCTCCCCTAGGTCGACTCAGCCTCAAACGAGTAACTGCTGTGGTGTGTGAACATTGCCACTAGGGAGACAAAGGCGGCCAGGCGTGGTGGATCCAAGTCCCGGGCGAAGCCAGGTAGTATAGCTAGTATGATATAAACCACTTCAATAAGCTATCATGTGTGGCCAGGTCACCTCTGAAAAAGATATAATAGATCATTGGGCTTTTCCTGGTAAATTAAAAGTTTAGTTTATCTTGGTTCAGGGTCCATCCGTCGTTTATAAGATGCTTACTCCCTTTGTGGGAATCAAGTGGTTAAATGGAATGGATCGCAATATGGAAATTCCACAAGGAAAGTGCTATACACAGGAGATTAGCTCCACTCACAATAATCCCAACTGAGAAACCAATTACTTTTTGAAGAACAGAAATTTATTTCAACAGTATTAGGAAAGGACCTTCTTTAGAGAGGGCACTTAGAAAATAATGACCGAGTTATAGGATAGTCATTTTGTAACATGTTGCAATAACCCTAGAATTCAGAGAATGAACACATTTATATGAAAAATATTTTAGTACAACCAGGGCAAATGCACAAATAGTGGCATTGAAAGCCATAAATGGGGTAAACTTACTGTATGATGTAGGGTTCGACAATGTTTAGCAAGATTAAACGACTGACGTGAAAATATGTATCTATTAAGCATGTGGTTAGGAAGACCTGAGAAAACCTTATCACTGTAAAGCCAAATTAAACATTTAAACAAGGTGATGACGAGATGGCCTATTGAGACCAAAAGTCATTTTAAGTAGACCTACATTACAAATGGTATATAGTCTCAAAAAACAGCATAGGACAAGTAAACATGTTTCTACACAGCCATGTTTAGAGTTTTTGTCACATTTGGGCTCTGACAACACATCAGTGGCCAATGATTAAAAACGATGACTTCGCTATCTTTAAACTCCACTGCCCCACTGCAAGGTGGACTTCGGTGATTTCCCCGCAGAATTTACCCGGGCTGAATGAAGTAGCAGGAACTCGGTCACTAAATCGTGACATATACTCAGTGTCAAAAGTCAATGTGTGTGCTCCATGAGCAGATGAACATCGGTAAGTCAGTTTCTCATTTCCGTTCTCAAACAGCTGACCACCGATTTATTAATACGGTGTAAGCTGCCCAAGTGTGGAAGAGGCTCAACACAATCACTATGGTGATAATGATGATATCCATATTTATGTTTAATGAGGTTATGAAATGACCTGGGGATGTCAATTTAATAATTTACCATTGTGAGCTAGGTCATGTACATATATAACTGGGTGTCCATTTCGAACAAGGCTTAAGGTGAACACTCCTAAAAGTGCCCAAGGTGTCAATAGAGCAGCGAGCAAACGATCATACATATATCATCAAGTTAGAACCCATTCAGAAATAAGTATATTTTTCTAAGACAAGTTGAACACAATGCTAAAATAAGCAGGTGTTGATTTAATACAAGAAATGTATAGTTATGATGCATATTTGACCAGGTGAGATCGCACTGAGAAAGTCTCTTTTTACAATTAAAACTAAGAAGGTAAAAGTGCAGCCCTGCAATAACTTGCTAATGCTATTTAGCCTACTCATCTATTCTGGCAAACCGTATTGGAAGAAGCGGGAATACCCACATTTTGCCCCACTAAACTGTGAACTGTCGTTCCACTTGATGTGGGGTACCCATTGATACTGCAGAGTGGACAGAGGCAAGGAAATTAAAGAAACTTGCACCATTGTTTCAACTGCCTCGTTGGGACGTGGAATTGAACCGGTAAACTCTGCGAGTTCAGTGTGCAAAGCATTACACAGCTTCTGATAAATGAAGTGCAAAATCAGTTTGTTAAAATTGCTGGCACTGCATTTGTATTGTAATGAGGGCTTTAAGGGGGGGGAAACTATTTCGAGCTGAACACTTATCCCAGATGCCTATTTAGAGAAGTCACAGCAGCGTAATGTTATGTACTTATCCAGGAAAGCCTCACCAAGTCCGTTGACTTTTTCAGGATAATCCTGCATTGATAGGAATGCTGGACCATTCAATTTTAAATATTTTTGTTAACGAGCTGTGTCTGCGTGTACACGGTGAAAACTAACCACACGCATGCCAGGGAATAATGCACAAAGGTCGGCAAAGACTCCTCTAGATTTTACATCATTTGGAAGCCCTTACGCAACCAAACGGGTTTACAGATGTAAACCAAAAAACGAATGTTATATACACGCTGTCTGTTCCGTTAGAGAGATACATATTTTAAACGGCAAAGCAGGTATAATGATGGTTACTTCACCGACACCATTCCGATCAATTTAACACGTCAATATAGACGTACAGAGGGTGTAACTCAAGAGTATTTCTGCTGAGTAACGAAGCTTCAAAATCATGGAGGCCAACCTGGTGGACCCACAAGGGGGTGAATCTACAAGAGGTGAATCTACAAGGGTTGTTTCCTGAGCAGTGTCTTGCTTTAACATCGATGCTTCTGCAAAACTCAGTGAAATTAAGTCTTTGAATATTATCCCTTCGTTTGCGTTGATGATTTCCTCTCGGTGGTCCAGCTTCAACTGTGTCCACCTTTCTGATCCATGCGGTGTAGACCAAATGCACAAACTACCCAACAATTAATCAAGGATGCAATGCATTTCAAAATAATATTGGGTGACTTAATTCAAAAGGAGGTATAACGTGCAGCAACGTGATGAGGGTTTGTAGATTTATCAGTGGAGTGAGAAAAATAGGCGCGCGTCTAATCCAATTTGCAGCCAGCAAAGGCGGAAAAATAATTAATACATTTTATATGTTAAAGAAAATGGGAAATGGGCGTGGAAACGACAAAATTATTACATTTGGAACGAGATTAAATTGAATATAACCGTCAAACCACAGACTGTTACAGGCCTGCCCTAAATAATTTTAACAAATCGGTGCAAGTTGCATTACACTTCAACATAGCCAAACTGTGTTAAAGCAAAACCATGTTCAAATTTAAAGTGTAAGTAAGCGGGTTTTTTGGGCAAACTCTTAGATTCAAATGACTAAAATAGAAAATTGACACGGAGGTCTCCACCTTCAATAATTAATTACGAAATGCTAATTCACAAATGGTAGCCCAAGGGGTTAAAGATGGAACAATGCAAAATAGAGATATTAAAATAACGAGGGTATATATTGTACGCATATCTCTAAATCCAAAATCATATTGCACCGGAATGAGACCGTCTCTGCGATTAAAGGGAAGTTCTAAATGTCATACGAAGTAGCAATTACACATTTCCTATGATAAAAACGGTTAAAGGGGTTTTGTGTGCATTCCCTGACATACGGATGAGAAATATGTTCATAGCCATAAACTGAACGAAATTTAAGTACGCAAAGCATCAGTAGAAGCAGCCTTGCAATCACACTGAAACGGAGTAACGTAATGGATCCGAGTGAATGCTAATGTCCAAGTAAAATTGGCTTGGTAAAGAATAACGATGGAGCGAGTGGAAGCCAAGGGGCGGAACGCGTTGGGGGAGAACGTCGTCGGCTGATAGTTTCAGGGCGATTTAATTATCTCGCCGTGCCGGGTGAATTGCTGCACCGCAGGATGGTGAGAGAATGCGACCGCCACACACAGCAATGTAGACGTATCCCCGTGTTTACTGTGTGTGTGTATTCTAGACGGAATGAACGGGTGTGGATTCACGAGCAGAAATAAAACGGATTATAAAGCCTCGCGGGACCACGAAGAATGGCGACTGCATGTGGAGGCCTTCGTCGAACAGTTAATAGACCACGACTCAAGGACAAATGTTGAATCCGGATTCACAACCACGTACGGGCAGCAAAACACCGACCGAGCGACGATAGCATTCAATTCCCAGTCGCATCGTTAAGTCGCGCGTACATTAATCAACCCGAGCTCGGTCCAGCTCCACATCACCTCCCGAGCTCTTTCCTGGGCAGCTCTGCCGGGCTGGGGGCGAGCAAACCCCGCGAGGCCGCTCAGGCAAGACGGGCCAGAGCGCGAGACTGCGGCCAAAGGCCTCAAAGCCGTAAAGGCGGCCCGCCCTCGCAACTGAACTTCGCCTCCTCCGTCCGAGCGCTCACCGGTCGTACAGCTGATCCTCGGTGCCCGGCAGCGGGTGCACAACGAAGTGAACGGACGTCATGGTGAGTTTAAAGCGGGGCGGACGAGGCCACACGATGGCGGCGCCTCTCGTCTCAGCCCAACGCCATTAAGCAAGCAAACGCCAGCTCGACCCGCGCGGATGAAACGGCGGTTCCTATTGGCTGCCGGGGCCGGTCAGGGGCGTGGCAATGTAACGCGAGACACGATTGGTCGAGACGCCAGCCCCCCCCCTCCCCCGTGCGGCGGGGTGGGGGGATCACGGCTCCACCTGATTGGCTGGTGGCGGCGCCGGCTTGCTCGGTCTGCGGTGCAAGGCGACGCGACGTTGTGATTGGGTGAAGAGGCAATCGGGGAGAGCGGCGATACCCATTGGCTTGGCACGAGAAGAGGAAGGGGGGAGGGGCGCGTTGTGATTGGGCAAGCCGACGCGGGCTTGCTGGTGAGCAATACGGCGAGCTTTTGATTGGCTTTGAAGGGGGCGGCGGCGGGGGGGGGCGATCGGTGTGATTGGCTAAGGAACGCGATTCGTGATTGGTTGAATCTGCAAGTGGGAGGGTCGGAACGTCAGGGCGACGATCTATTGGATGATATCTACGGGGGGCGAGCGTGCGCGAGATGGTAACGCGAGTGGTGATTGGACGAGATCAAGCCCGTCACGACCCCCCCCGTGAGTTGGGTTGCCCGTGTTACCGTGGCAACGCTCTCAGTGTTCACAGCAAGCAACTTCCTCTTCTAGATTTGAAGCTTTCGTGACTGCAAGGATTCATATTCTTAGGTTTTTTCGGTAAAGTCACGTAGGTAAAACATCAAAATTAATGAAAATTAAATAAAATAAAAAACGTCGTGATTTTTGTTTTATTTTATTTTATTTTCATTAATTTTGATGTTTTACCTACGTGACTTTACCGAAAAAACCTAAGAATATGAACTTCCTCTTCGTGTCTCCGATCCCAACCTCCTGTCATTATTGGTCTCTTCCCAATAGTCTTGCACAGGCTTTGGCATTGCCAGATCTTGAGGAGCGCATTGTGGTGCTTGCAGGGCATCTTGGGAGATGGTCCATGGTTTGCTTCTAACAAAGCACATTGTGCCAAGCACATTATGCCACCTAACAAAGCACATTGTGCCACATTGTGCCAAGCACATTGTGCAGAAAACCCCCAATGATTTCATGAGAGTTGGAGTTAGATGCGAGCTACTCACTGGGGATGATTTCTCGCCGGCTCCATTCAGCAGTTTTGTCACTTTCATTTTTTCACGATTCCTTTTGCCAGAGTGAGCAGCAACATCAAGGCACCTTTGAAACCCACGCGCGTCCTCACGACTAACTGGGCAATAAAAAACTGGACGCAATCACACCGCGGTGTGCGACAAACAAGTTGTGCTCTTCCATAATAAAAACATTTTTGGGGGGTTAGATCGCGTAAATATAAATGTGTCGTCGTTAAACCCGCCACCACCACCCGACACAGCCAATTAGTAAGATTAGTCACGTAAACAGAACATGCCAATTCGTTACGAGTACAGCACACCCGTGTGCTGGAGAGTAAAACCCACTACAGCATTTGCAATTCGAGTTCAACGTTTCGCCAGTAATTACAACTAGCATCATCAGGTGGCAGACAGATTAGTGGAGAAATCCTGTGGCTCTTACTGTGGCTCTTGTTTGCATTACAAGCGTTTATCCGATCACTGTGGATCAACAAAAACAAATCGGCACGAGTAAGGTGGCCCACATTTTCCACTGGAGATCAAACCCGGACGTATTTCTCAATCAGCACGTGGTCTATTAATTCTAGATGTGAAGCTTTTGTGACTGCAAGGATTCGTACCTACGTGACTTTACCGAAAAAACCTAAGAATACGTGGTCTAGTGCCTCCTCTAATTCAGGTCAACCCAATGTCGGCACCAGGTCTCGGCACAAATCAATTCCTGCTGTCACCCTAACACAGATGACGCCAGCTCAGCACCAGAATATTTATACTGGAGGAATCCGAAAAGCTATAAAGCTCTTCCCCCTCCCCCCGCCCACAGATGTCCAACAGGGACGGGTCAGAAAGTTGTAGGTGGCAACTCTCGTCAAGCCCAATCAAAAAAAGCGTACTCTTAGGTTTTTTCGGTAGAGTCACGTAGGTAAAAATAAATAAATATTAAAAATACATAAATAATCTACATCTATAATTTAAAAAAATACTAGAAATAATAATAGAAATAACAGGTGAAATTCCTCGCCGTAGAGGGTATTAATTCTAGATTTGAAGCTTTCGTGACTGCAAGGATTCATACTCTTAAGTTTTTTCGGTAAAGTCACGTAGGTAAAAATAAATAAATAAAAATACGTAATTTTTATAATAGAAATAATCATAGAAATAACAGATAGATAAGAAAAAAAGCGTAATTTGTATACGTTCGTACATGCATACATATCAACCCATACGGTTTGTACAGGAAAATTTAGTTTCCATGTCCACATGGCGTACAGCCGTTTCAATACGGTCAAAAAATGTCTATGTGTTTGTGTTTCTCCCTTGTGATGGGACTTTGTAAGATGAACGTTGAGATTTGTAAGGGCACGGTTGACCCATAAGGTCTGAATTGGTCTGTATTAAGGTCGGCACTGATCATGGGTTGACAGGTTATGTATGTATGTCAACTATGTTGATCTTCTTTCGTACCGTACGTAGACAACCGTCCTCATCGGAGGTACATTTGGCTGTTGTACGAATCTCCAAAATCCTGCGGTGACTCCAGGTGGCTTGATAGATGGTCCATAGTTTGGGTTGCTTAGCCACAATCACACGACTGCGGCTTGATTTTAATTTTATATTCATCAAGGAGATGTGCGCATCAGCCTGTTGACGTTCTCATTGGGTTCGTGGCTACACCACTTGTGTCATTAAGGAGGCATGATACCATTCTGGCGAATTGCCCGATGATGCTGGATGCAATTACCAGCGAAACGTCGTACTCACAAATTGTAAATGTTGTGGTTTCACGCTTCAACACACCGGTGGGCTAAAGCAGTGAACTATTTGTCTTTTGTCAACGTGACACTTTTTTTGCTGATTGGCCGTGTCGGGTGGTGGAGGGTTACGACACATTTATAAATAACGCGATCTAAACCCAAAACGTTGATTATGAAGGCATGACAAAGACAGGAGATGTGCTACCTCTGGGTCTTTAGGCCACAGTGATATTGACGAAATGTGCTGAGTTTTTTCTTTGTTAGAAGTGCTTTTGTGATCCATGGTTTTGACATTGATGACCAGGTTTACAAATTAACTCAAGCCAGTAAGGTCCTTAGCACAGTGTGCTGTTCCATATAAACAATGAGATTATTCACATAAAATACAATTACTCCGCGAATTACGGTGATTATTTTACATGTACAGTACTGCATTTCTGGTTTACCAACGAGAATTGTGCTGCTAAATTTCACCGATAGGTGGCAGTATGGTGTAAGACATGGGGTGGAGGCGTATTGTCTGCTAATTTGTGTTATTACTGGACTTTTTTTTATCCAAAACGAAATTCGTATGTCTAGTTTAGTTGTGTACAACTAGAACAAAAAACCTTTAATATGAATATAGCCCATATCTTAAAAAGAGGGTCCTTAGCTACAAACATCTGACAGTTCAACCGCATTGCAGATGTGACTCTGAATGTTCAAACTGGTCCAGAGTTTTCCCGTATTACACCAATGCTGTTGAAAACTGGCACTTCCCGAAAGCCGTGTATGGAAGATGGGATGCGTAAAAACTACCTTTAATTATTTATGTAGAGAGACAGACATGGGAAGGAGACGTAATATCTGTTTATTGATTTTGCTATGAAAAAATGTAATTATTTTATAATCATTACTCCAATAACCCATTTCCTCTCCATCGTTTTTCAGAATCCTGCCACAATATCTATCCCACCCACACACATATCTCCCCTGGTCATCCTCGTGTTTTATTCCGGTAATGTTTTCCTCTGGCAGGCAAGAATGTGTTGTTTGAGTCATGTAGCCCAATATGTCCACCCACTGCATGGCCTAGCAACTTGGAGATGGAGCCATGGCATCAGCTCGTGTGCAGGTGCTAGGCGTGAGAGAGAGGGCCTTCATCCAGCAGTTGATTGATCATAGCTGATGATAATTCCACTGATGATGACAACCTTGTGTATGCAGTGCATTCGCATTAACATGAACGTATTGTTGTTGTGTTCCTGTGTATATTGCACAGTCGAGTAACAAAAATAAGTTCTGAAGTGTGTGGTGCTCTTAAAACTCGGTAAAGTAATTACTTTGTGGAAAATTTGTTTTTTGTCTCATTGAGCGGTTTCATATTTTTTTCATATCTTCAGAGTATAATGGATTTCACTTTACTTGGTGAGAACCCATGAATATTCGCTACCTTTTATTGCAACAGTTTATTCGTGGGTGCTGTCAGTTAAACGTCATTATTCTCACCTGTATTTCACGTGATATTTAATGTGGCACAATATTCACCTTTATTTTACTTCCATGAGCATTAATAGGCAGGGGACAATGTTCCTGCTGTTATTGAAATGTCAAAATATAAACTTGATGGCCAAAGCCAAAAAGTATTATGTTTAATGTGAGTATCACCAATGCTAGTAGTGCCAGACATATTTTCTATTGTCATCGTCACGATTTAAATGGGTGCTTAATAGCTTGAAAAATGAAAATAAAATGAAATTGCTCATATATTACATAAGGTAAACTAAGAAAATATATTCGAGTGCAGCCTTACTTTTGACTTAATAAATGTATACCTTTATAGGTTTTTATGTTAAACATTCTTAACCATCTCAAGGAAAAATCATTAATGCATTTGCCTTAAAAAACAATGTCACGTGAAACATGATATGTATACTATTTGGTTCTTTCGTTAAAGTCACGTCGGTAGAAAAAATAATAGATCACGACGTTTCGATCGCCACACAAGCAATCGTCTTCAGGTGGGAGAAATAAACAGGCTGCTGAAACAAGTCCTGATATATGGCTTGCTTGTGTGGCGATCGAAACGTCGTGATTTATTATTTTTCTGCCTACGTGACTTTACCGAAAGTACCAAAGAGTATGGATTCCTGCAGTCACGAAAGCTTCAAATCAAGAATTATATGTATGTATGATGAACTTCTTTCGCACCATACATAGCCAACCATGCTAATCGGAGGTACGGGGTTATTAATCATCTGCAGAATATCACAATAAATATCAGCTTTGTGTAAAAAAAAACAGTACAGCATATACCACTAATCTTTCTGCGTATGATGGATATTGGACGAAGTGGATACGAGCAGGCACTGCCACACGAGGTGGCACCTACCGACCAACCCCCTTGACTCATGGGCTTGGTGGATACCTCTGGTGAGTGCCAGTGGACCCCGGACTTGGGTACACTACACTGGGTCCCCTTATCACACAGCCTCCCAAAAAAAAACTCAGATCCAGCCGCCACCACACAGACGCCATTAACCACACCTAAATGTGATTAGATATGGATTGTAAACTGGGCTAAGGTAAGCAGGTCTGATGGCCTTAATCTTATGACAGTCTCATAGCAAACCGTACTTTGAAAACAGCCTTAAAGAGATCACTGTCTGGTGTCTGGGTGAGAGACTTCTGCTCTTAATGAACTCATTCTGGGTGATGAAAGTAATCAATCTATATCCAGTCATCAGAAGTTGATCTGTCATGTCAACATCATCATCAGCCTTTATTCATCATCAGTAACCATGGCTTATCAGTTGCTGAATGATATCCTCCCCATCATCAACCATGCTATATCTACTTCTAAATGTATGGCATCCCAATTACCATCAGCAACATTCATCATCAATCCATTGCTATATGAAGGCCTCCTTCTCATGACCATGAGCAGCAGCCATGGTTTATCATTTACACCATTGGAACCTCCTTTGCCAGTAGCAAAATATGATAATCGGTCTTTTACCCTTTTATCTGGCAACAAAAATGACACCTTTTGGCGTCATCTGGTCCAACACCATGTGAGACTAGGCTCTAAGAAAAGCTGTCTCGGGTGTGGACCAATCCACTTCAAGGACAGTGCATACATTATAAAAGTTGTGTTTTTTGTTTGCATTCCGACCGCAGGTATTGTTGTCAATGCAAACATGACTCCTTGTAAAAAAAGGTGTCAGTTTTGTTGCCAGATAAAAGGGTAAAAAAACGATTATCATGGTTTATCATGTTGGACGAAAACCTCCCCATCATCATTATCAGCCATGGGCTGTCTACGATTGGATGAAGGCCTCATGAGCATCATCATCAATATTTACAAAAAAAATCATCATAAGTAGGACCACTGCAGCCATCGGTCCCCATTCGGGGCCCTGTCAGCGTCATCCAATGAAGCTCGTCGGCTCCTGCGGTCGCTCCAGAGGGGAGATGTCGTCGCTGCCAATAGCTTGCAGAATTTCTACCTCTATTGCTATGTGACCTGACCCCGATGTCACAGTTGAAAAATTATCAAGCGCACAAGATCCAAATAAAATTAAAATAACGATCTTCACTGTAAGTCGCTGGGCCCTACTTTTAGTCGAAATTCTTTGAAAAGCACACTGCTCTGTTTGCACTACCCCTTCTCAGAAGCCCAGTAGTCTCATATTCTATGGGCACGATCAATTTCAACGTGCTAAATATACATGAATTATTGCTCGCTCAATCGACGGCTTAAAATAGCTTCAAATATCTAGAGCGCATAGACGGCAGTTTTGGCTTATCCAACCATAATTGACCGGGATTTATTTACGTTATGTTGCTGAACTACACCAACTTCCTAAACGTTCCATCGAATGAAATTAATTTATTGCCGTTTACGTTGCCAGATATTTTAACGGTCACCATGATATGAACGCTATAAACACATACCATGGCATAATACAAGTGCAAAGAGCATTACCATGGGGCGAGAGTTAAATGGTTAATTTGGTAACGTTGGCATCCAAGAGACACGTGCAATATGATTAAAGTTGCTGCCAATACTATTTCTGGCTTAAAAACGTATTTAAATAACTTCTGCACTCGGCATACATGTGTCTGCATTTGTCTTTACTTTGGTTGATTTTTTTTTACTGATAACAGTGGCTTAATCTCGGACATTTTCTCTGAAAATCATCAATGTTTCATTTCTGTATGTCCACGAGCGCATATTTGTTCGTTCTAACCTGGTCGTTTGGTCGCACGTTATTTGTTTAGCCAAAGGTTGTTCAATCTAAAGTGGAGGCCATACATTCCTAGAAGAATAGACACACGGCATCGTAAATGATTATTGATCTAATCTGTCACAGGGTTCACTTGGCACGTGTCACCTGCCGCCAAATGCAAACGCCACATTCGTTTTTTTTCTTTTACTTCCACTTGCCCTGAGATGAATACAAAATAATCCATTCGGAACTCTCGCAATGATCCGCAGGATATATTTAAAACCCACCTCAAGATGCATTAATATTATTTTACTTGTTCTTTCTTCCCCTTGGCCAAGACATTATTTAGGTATTTATTTTTGTGATGTACAGCGCTTTCAGTGCATTGTCAAAAGCCGATGTGTAAATGTAATTTATTATATTACACAGCTGCTTCTGAAATCCCCCTTCAACACCAGTCTTCCTACAGACAAAATGTTGATCTCTCCAAAGATATTTGTCATTCTCAAGAGTTGCAATCGAGCCAAAAAAACGCAGGACTAAAGTTAACTATGGTTATAAGGCAGAGAATCAACTCGCTTCCTTGTTTGAATCAAATTTTGAACCTAGGATCTCAGTGTTGTTAGCTCAGAGATCTCGCTTACAATTTAGCCAGTCACCTCAGTGATCACCACCTCAAACTTCTCAGGACATAATGACACTGGCTGGCTTACCACCATTTGCAGGCAGGCCTTCGTTTCTATGCACAATCAGAAGAGAGTTGACTGGTATAACATACGACTGCAACAGAGCAAATGGAAGCCATCACACAGAACTTCGTAGGTTTTCACAGTTGTGCTGTATAACCCTCGGATGTGTTTGAGTTGTGCCATGTGTTGTTCGACAAAATCATGACGTTTTTCTTCCACCTCCTGGGAGCTTATTCAGGAACTTTATTGAGCAAACTCGCGTTCTTCGTTGTTTAACGTTGCCGGCTGTTGCTGGTCTCTGAAATAAGCCAAAACACGGTAACAACCCAAACACACAGATTGGTACAGCCTACGACCAACTCACCCTGAATGTACGAACTCTAGTTCGGGTCTCATCTTCTAGAGCAGAGGTTAAGCCGAGTTCGTGGCTGGATGGGTCACCACTAAGAGATACCAGTTGCTTATGGACATGTGAGAGGTGGGCCAGATGGCAATACAGAAACATTATTCAGTTCAGACATGGATTTAGTCCATCTGTGAATGAAATCTATACTGTATGTGCATCGCTTTGTTCTATTATGTTTGGGTTTTCTGTGTATTCCAGTTTCCACCCACACACACACCAATTATTTACGGAATTTACCAAATATCGCAATACACGAGCCATCTGAGAAAAAGTAACGTCAGGGAGGCATTTCTGGATAAAAGGCATAATTACATTGCATCAGAATGGCCCTGCAAACCCAACTCCAACAACTACATCTGTAGCCACTACAGGAGACTATTCACCCAATTATAGTTACAGCTCCCAATTGCTCAATAAAAAGTGGATTTCCACGCATGGGTCCTCCAACAGATACACATTGTAACCCTCGGAGATGAGCAGTGGTTTTTTACACGCTTTTATTTAACTCACTGTTGTATCCTCAAATTTTGTAACTCAATTTTTACCCACTTCGCAATGTGGTATTCACTGCATAATTGGTATACTTATGTCATACTGATGACAAGACTATATTCTATCATAAAAAAATCCAAAACATATTTTTGTAACATTTTACACGCTTTCATTTAACTGTCTGTTGTCGTATTCTCAAATCTTGTAACTTAATTTCTACCCACTTCCCAATGTGGTATCCACTGCAAACTTGGTACACTTGTCATACTGATGACAATACTATATTCTATCATTAAAAAAATTGATTTTATAACATTCTTTTACACGCATTTTATTAACTCAGTGTTGTCATATCCTCAAATCTTGTAACTCAGTTTTAACCCACTTCCCAATGTCGTATCGACTACAAACTTGGTATACGTATGTCATACTGATGACAATACTATATTCTATCATTAAAATATATATTTTGAAACAATATTTTTTGTTATGTTTCGGCTTGGGTCCAATTGTCCACGCTCAACTGACGTTGGCTGTAAATCACCACGGTCTCTTACGTTATGGCAAGCTTCGGGGCCACTTCATGGAGTTCTGCCATTACTTGTACGGTATATTTCATTAAAGCGTGTTTTAAAAAAAAAAGTATTTTAATTAATACTTTTTTAATCCAAATGCTACAAAAATTGCAATCATGGGCGGCTGCACCAAAATAACTTTCTATACCGAAGCAGCCGATTTAACAGCGTGCCAAACGGCCAGATTTGGACGTAGTTATTAGCAGTGCTAATCATTAGCTGCTCTTTCATGGTCACTATGAACTCAGAGCCACTTTTCTTTCACGTTTTTCTTAATCCAGCTTCGGGTGTGTATTTATACTCATTATTTGCAGTGGTGCACAAGAACATTTTGATGTGTTGTGGGAAAAGGGCCATTGCTCGAAACGTCCTGGAGATTTTTTTTTATAGCTGTTATTGACGAATTTGTTTAGTTTGTTTAATATTTGGATGTATTGCATGTACATCTCATTTCTTTGGGGACGAAACATTCAAACGATCACTAATAACCGAATATACCAACAAATTCACACGTAACCGTTATGTAATATACTCTGAAAAAACGCTTTAATATATTTTTTGTAGTGATAAAAATATACAAAGGAATTTACAAAAACGTGGAAATTTCAGACAAAAAACAAAAAAATCAAGTCAGTGATAGTAAATAAGAGTGCAAACCGCGCAAATAAGTGTACATTTTGGTTTCGCTAACGATGTGTACAATGCAATACTGTACAAGCAAACAAGGCAGTATAATAGGGATTTGAGGTCAGCCCAAACTGCACACAGAATGTTACGCTTCAAATTAAACCTGACACTATTCATTCGGAGAATACCATTCTGTGTCGATACACAGGGTTAACAAGTGATGGTTGGTGGATGGGGCACAGACAACAGAATCCAGTCTCCAGCTGCAGAGGGTAACAGTCCAGCATTGCAATAAAATTAGAATGGCCACAATATACAAGATAATCATTTCAAGTATTAAAAAAAAAGTTTGATATGCTCGAAATGGATGGAGTTAACCTTCATTCTGAACCGCTTTGAGAGAATGTTTTATGTTTATATAGCACGGCAGAATTTTTTACGTGCAATTTTCACATGGAGATTGGGACATTTGCCATCAATGGAGTTGGCCAGAATCATTCAACTGCTTTTGACACATTCCAAGCCACACAGCAGCAAACGAAACAGCGGGAGAGTGGATGTTTCATCAGCTTGTATACACGGCCACACGAAAGTGCTTTAAAAACAGGTGAACTTCTATATGCATAAGGCAAGTTTGCCAATACTTCATGATGTCGTAATTCAATCAATGGGCCTTAGGACTGAGAAGGCCTAGTTGAGCAACAAGATATTGCTGAATAATAAAGTGTGTAAAAAATACGTTGATAGGTTAGAACATGGTCTGAACCGCCAAGGTTTTACCGGCTGGCATTTGTGATGCACAATTTATGTAAAACTGTATGTACAGTGTACACACTATGTAAAGAAGCACACTTTCCAATAAGTTCGAAAAATGATACATAAAATTGAAACGCAAAATATATGCTTCATTAATCAAGTTTGTAACGTAAAAAAATACAAGGGTTAAAATAAAAACAGAGGTTTTGTAAAAAAATTATCTAATTTGAGAATATTATAGAAACTTGCCAGTCGGTGGGTTTTGCAAGCACGTGCAGTGTAAGTAATGAAGCTCTCTGGTTCAATGTCTTTTGCTCCCTGAAGTGATGACTGTGAACCCCTATCGGGCAGCAGTGTTGCAAGCCCAGGGGAATTACCTCATTCGGTTTTTAACTCCGTGCCAACAAACTTTGCAATAAAATTTAAAAGGTAAACTGTACTGAACCATGTTTTAATTCGGTCGGGAAATGTGCGCGAGAAAGGCAACGATTCAAACATTGGAAGGCAATTTCAAATGATATTTGGTGTGAAAATGCCAATTAGTCACCAACTTAGGCATTTATTTTGTCATCTGCATAAAAACGGGTTTCTTCACCGTTCGATTAAGTAGAACACAGAATCTGTTGTGTTTTTGCACACTGGTGTACAGAGGATCGAATTCTCCAGGCCTGCCAACACTTTTGCCTTGGCCTGGCACGAATCTCATACTGTCTGCTCCCCACCATTACTGGTCTCCCCCAACCTGTAATTGGCAATTGCCGAGGTAAGTTGAAGACTCGACACGATAAACATTTTCCCCTGGGGTGCAACAGCCACAACTCGGTGCAAGTGCCTTGATAAATATAAACCAGGATGATGGGTGGCATCATCACCCAAGCCAAATTTGTCACTCGATTCAGACAAATCAGATGCAAGAATTAATGTATATACAAATCCTCGGCTGAAACTGCCAAGGATATAACAATGTTGTTTTCAAACAATTAATGTATAAATTATGTTTGGTTAATAAACCAAGGGTAATAGAAAAACCAATAGAAAACAAATATTGAAACAACTTATTTATTTATTTTTCATTCAACATATTAATGTAGCTTTAGGTAATATTAATATTTGTTATTTAAATGTAAGGTTATTCAAATTTTAATTTATCTTAATAAAATAAACCAGAGGTGGCCAAGTGGTTCAGTTGTCCAATCGCTGAGTTGGCACAGCGTAGATCCTGAGTTCGATCCAGGCCTGTGACTTAACCAGGTTCTCAAGTGTGAAAAGTCAAGGGTCTAAAGTTGGTCACGACTGACAACACAATAAACCATGTTAAATTTAGTTTTGCACTTAATATTCTATCCCTGGGAATTACAAATGTACATTTTAATGTCATGTGCCATTCTCGAGTGTGGATAAGGAGTTACTTGAATAGATTTCAAAAGTAGTTACGTTATTTTAACTTCTGGAGACCGCTAACATGACAGGATTGCATTGCTCTGCATGAATTCCTAAATTATTCAACTTATGCAATGCCAATTCGGTAAAAAAAGTTGGGATGACAAAAATAAACTTAATTGAATAAAGTTGATTTGTGTCACAATTATTGCCTTGTTCATTCATGTTTAAACGCTTACAGAAGAACCTCGATCATATGAACCTTAACGTGTCTCCAAAGTCACTTTTCATTCATGCCTTAGATCTTATTCCAAAAGAATGCATGCTAAAACTGAAAACACATTTAGGCTGCATCGCGGCATGGAGAACTACACAATGATGGGCAAGCCCTCTGTTTTGAATACAGGGCATTAAAAGTGTATTTTTACAATTCTTTACTATAAACGGCAAATAAGCAGAGACCTTTTATATGTGTTTTACAAGCTAAATTCCGCTGTTTTATGTCAGCACCAACCAAAGCTTTAAAGGATCGAGGTCCTGTTTTACTGCTGAAATAAAGTTGTTTGGTTGAATACAGCTATGACTTTTGACTTTCAATCAAATGTGTTGTGGGTACTTAAATGTATATTTTATGGGAAGGAAAATAAGTGTAATTTGAATATTCAGTTCCTAGTAGATTTACCCCCGTCTATAAAGCTGCTCAAACTGATCAGCAGAAATCTTAGTTAAATGCTTTTACCTAAACGATTTACACAACTATCAATATTTACAATTGCACCATACGTAAGACTATGGATGGCTTAAGATCAAAAAGTAACACAGCTTAGCATTAAGCCTCGATATATATTTCAAAATTAAACATTACATTTGTATTTCCACATGTCTTCCGGAAACACTTTAAGGGGCGGTCAAAAAGTTTAGACTGGAACATTTCAAGGCATGCAAAGACTCGCACTCTCAAATAACAAATCACACCAATATATTCCTATATTCTATAATTATCATATAAAGATGGGGCTTTAAAATAAGCCTTACTTTTAAGTCGGTACGACCACTTTTTAAACCACTATTTTTTAAAGTTTATTGTCCTCAAAAACTTTTTGACCGCACCTCGTACATATGTACATGCATGTAAATCATTCCTCTCCGGAATGAGCCTCAGCCATCCCTGGTCAGTGCGGTGTGGAGAGGAAGAAGAGATGAAGGAAGAGGTAAGAAGAAAAAGATAGCCTTAAGGAAGAGAGTGGAGAGGTTATAAAAGTGGAGAAGTTATGAACGTGAAGCATGACTGTCAGGGGACACAATATGGAAAAGGAGGGGTTGGGTGGCAATGAATAGTGAGGAGCAAAAAGAAAAGGAGAGTAAGTGATGAGAGCAGACAGAAACATGAAGGCAAGAAAAAATAGGTTAATGTTATTGGGAAGAAATTGGGAAGGGAGTGGCGATAAGGGAAGAAAATGGAAAAATAAAGACTGGGAATAAGATACAGTCGGCAAGGAAGAAAGCAGCAGGTGTTGGGACCATGAGAAATTAAGTGATGATCAGAGAACAAAGATGCAGATAAGAACACAAGATAGGGGGGAGGTGAGAGATCGGTGAGTGCAGAAAATAAAAGAGGGACAGAGAGGGGGATAAGAGATAAGTGTGGCGAGGGAATCGCACATCACACGGGTGGCGCAGCGGGCCCCAGCACGCGAACGCGTCCCGTCGTCGGTGCTGGCACAGATCCCCCGAGCCGCCGGACCTCAAGCTGCCAACCCGGCGCGGCGCGGTTCGCTGGCGCCGCGTGCCGCCGTGCGTGCTTGGCCAGGTGGTCGCTGCGCAGGAAGCGGCGTGCACACGCCGGGCAGGCGAAGCGCTTCTCCCCGGTGTGCGCACGCCGGTGGCGCGACAGCTCGTCCGAGCGTGCAAAGCGACGCTCGCAACCCTCCCACGAGCAGCGGAAAGGCTTCTCACCTGCGCAAAAAAAAGACGCGGCGCACGCACAGAGCACATTAAACGTCTGACCCAATGTCACAGGTTCGTTTAAACTTGCTGTAGCTAGTAGATCCTACAACTGGAAAATATCTACTGTACGTTAGCCATATTTTAAAATTTCCTTGCACAAAAGCACTCCTTAAATTGAATAGGCCAAATGTAGCAATGCAAGGAAGAACAATCCTAAAAGAGAACCAACGAGGCTTTGCAGCAACATAACGGTGCTCACCTGTATGTGTACGCAGGTGCGCCTTCAGGTGCGAACTCTTGAAGTAGGTCTTCCCGCACCCCTGGTGCGAGCAAACGTGCGTCCGCCTGCGCGCCAGCTCCGGCAACACCGGCGCCGGCGGCTGCGTGCCGGGGGCACAGAGAGACGACGGGGCCGGTGCCAGCGGTGACAGCCGAGTAGGTGGCGGCGAGCGTCTCGTTGCCACCAGCTGCTGCTGCCCGGCTTGCGGAGGAAGCACCACCATCAGCGTGCCGGCCTGCGACACCAGGCTGCCCATGAGCACCAACGGCTGCTGTGTGGACGGCGTGCGCATCATCAGCACGGGTGCCGGCAGGATGGACGCGGGCTGTGCGCTCGGAGCGATAGGCACGACCGCCTGCTGTCCACGGCCAGGACGCTTGGCTGGGACTGGTGTTGCCGTTGCCACCACCGTCGATGACACGGATGACGAGGATGGCAGGACAGAAACGGGAGTGGTGGAAAAGCTAGGGGAGTGCGTGCGCGGCGCTGCCGTGTGCCCGCGTGTGATGGTCGGACAGATTGCCGAGGATGTGGGCGTGCATTCTGCCGGCGCTGGGGCCGTGTCGGCACGGCGCTCGTTGGGATGGGCCACAGTGTGCATGATGGTGTCAGCCGTGTGCCGGATAACACTCGTCGCCATGGCCACTGGGCGGGTTGAGGGAGACTGTTGGATGGGCTGGCATGGCTCGCCAAGGAGGCTCTCCAGGCTGCTAGGCACATGGTTCTTTGTCGACTGGTGAGTGTGGCTTGCAGTCTGGTGAGCTTGACCCACTGGATGGTCAGTGTGGCTCGTCTGTTGGGTATGGTTAACACTCTTGTGGGTGTGGATAACCGGCTGTTGGGTGTGGCCAAATGTCTGGTGGGCCACACTCTGGCAGGCGTGGCTTACAGTCTGGTGGTTGTGGCCAAATGTCTGGTAGCTGTGATGAACATTGTGGTGGGCATGAACAATCGTGTGCTGGGCGTGGGTGACTGGTGTGTAGGCGTGGCTAATGGAGGAGTGGGCATGGCCCTGCAGGGCAGTGATGTGCATGGTGGCAGGCCGTACGTCGCCCATGACAGCACTCGTCAGAAGGAGGCTGCCACTGCCCGAGTTACTCATGACGGTGGCAGGGGCCGACGGCGTGCAGTTGGAGGGCGGCTGCACTGCCGGGGCTCCCTCAAAGCTGACGGGGCTGTACGGTGGCGTCATCCACTGTGCAGACAACAACACAAACACAGGCACCCACAGACTTAAGTACAGCTTATCTATTATGACCTTGAAAGCGCTCAGAAAAATGCTGCTAAAATTTTTTTTAGTCTCAGATCATGATTTTTTCTGTGTGGATAACTGCCCATTGGGTGTGACACTAAATATAGTAATGATGGAGAAACAATGCAATTGTGAAGGCTGCGGCATTTATAATAGTAATAATGAAAAGGCAATGCAATAGTACAGGTACATGGCGGAGACGAAGATAATGATGATGCCGATGCTATCACGATCTCGATATGAATCCTCACCACAGACGGCTGCCCCACACGCTCCGGATTGAGAGCCACTTCCTCCACCTCCATGGAGCAGTCGGAGCCAGGGGTGAGAGGCCGCGCACTGCCTCTGCCCGACCCCCGAGGGCGGCCGATAGACATGAGCACCTCCACGGCCTCCAGGTCTCCCTCGTCCACAGCAGACCCCTCGCTGTCGCACCGCGCGCGTGCCATGCACGCCTGCAAACACAAACACGCCACACGCATTTAAAACCACTACTACTGGCTTAAAAAAGACTAACAGCTCTGCCTTCAAGACACTGAACTGTATGCATATACCTATAGACACTAATACTTAGGTAATGTAGTTGGCATGTAGTTATTCACAATTGTTTTGAAAAAATTCACACAAATCATAATTCTCATTCACACAACTGGGTGCACATATCGTGCATATGAGTTTAAGTATCTATTTTAATCGATGCATCACAGCACCTCCAGCCAACTAATAGTTCATCGTTCCAGAAATATATATTTTATAACAAAAGGTATTAATTTCAAGCCAAGTTGACCTAAGGGTTGCCGCATACCATAACACGCCTAAATAACTTTCAAATGATTTGTGCCACCAAGAATTGAAACCACTTTCTCTGCGGTTGTCTTTACAATCTGCAAAGAAGATATTTTCCATATGACCCAACCACATAGAACCTGCACTCAAAAGCCAGATAGCAGTTTAGGTTTCCGTCCCTGCAACAGCTAAAAAAAAACCTGAAAACATAATCATTGGTAGGGCGCAACACTGGCCGTTAATGAAAAACGATCCCACAAACGCGCAGAATGTCAAAGCTCATCCGCTGTTCTCCATTAACCTTTGTGACACTTTCCTGTTGTCTATTTTTATTGTCATTCCGATTTCATTGACGTACAGGCCAGTATTAATAGTTGCACCATAAAACAAAGCATGATTTGCTTGGCTGAGCCAAATGCGTTGCTCGACACATTTAAAAAAGAAACATCCTCACAGACTTGGCCCAATTAGGCCAATTTCCTCCCCTTGCCTGCCTCAAAGCATTTCCCGAAAAGTATTTGTGCCACACTGTGCTTAACATTGCCTGTCCCCTGCCCCTCTGTCTACTCAAGCCATCGAGGAGAGGGAAATTTAGACTGATGTTGACTACGATTGCATATCTTTCAAATGTTTCACATGCCAAATGGCAAATGAGTCCCAATGCATGATCTTGAGTATTCACTAGGTATGTAATTAATTATTCACCTGTCTAGATAGAAGAATTGTCATTATTTGGGCAAACGAATAATTGAAAAAACTTTTTTTTTTAATCTAGTTTATACTGGATCTTCCCCTCTATGACCATATACTATTATTAGTTGATTTTCAAATTCGACGTGTATCCTAAGAATCGATTAATCAGTATATGCCTCGTATTAATCAATGTATTTACAGTGTTTACATTTGTTAAAAAATAATTTGCATGTAACAACATTTTTCAAGCTCACCATCATCAGACACAGTCACCACCCTTCCCTCAAACCACTTCCACAAGAAGTTCCTCATTATTTGTTGTTGTGCTTTGGATGAGCTCACTGGGCAAGTCATGACTTGCAAATGTGCTCTCCCTTTTACCCCAGGATGTCGCTAGTCCCGTTGGGGACGACAACTAATCACGAGATCATTCATTACAATCAAAAAACGTGTCGCTCATTGGCAAGAAAAGTGCAGGCGATCCTGCAGTGGCTGCTGTGGTAATTTATTAAATGTTTCCCCACCATAGTAAACGTGGCATTGCCACAAATCAACTCTGGGTCACCAAAAAGGGGAGCACTGCCCCAGTGGGTTCCATTGAGCAACGGGGTAATTTTTTGACGTTTTACTTTGAGGGCTTCGTCATAAACCCTCGGTTATTACGTGGACTTTGGCTTCTGGACAGGCCTTGTATGGGTTGGCAAGGGCCAGCTTGGCAGACAATAAAGGCCAATAAGGGTCCACTGAAATGGAGGCGGAGTGCTACACACATAACTAGATCAATGGCAAAACGGCTCAATGGGAGTTGCATTCACCTAGTAGTGGACAGAATATGGTCCAACTTGGCGATGGCAACTTTCTCTGCAATGACAACTTTTTGTTAAGATATTTATTTTCTCAAAATTCCAGCCAAAATCCTGGCATTTTAGCATTTTATGTGTTTGATGCCTTTAAAGCAAGAGTGGAAAGAGAATGGCCGTTGCAACAAATTTAAACTATACATTTTCCATGACTTTTTGCTGGTGAGCATTGACGGAAAAAATTGTCCCCCTTGTGTTCTATAAGAAACAACTGAAAAGGCCCTCTCTAAGCTTTTTAATCATTCTACGATTGAAATTACTATCATAAACGGCATTCATCTCCGCCTGTGGATTTTTCTCAGAAACCTAACGTTGCACATTCTGACAGGACTTTGTATGTTGTGGTAGTTGTACCCTAATCCGGGCCAAGATCTGGACAATATTGCGGGTGTGGTGAGGGTTTTAAAGTGATATCACCATTCGGTAAAAGCAAACGTGTCTCCAATTTTTTTTTACACATTCCATCGGCCACATATCCTTCTGGGAGTGCATCATTTTATCAGCATTGATTCAACACAAGTAAACTCTGGACAGGAGCTCAACATGCTAGCTTGCTTAAACCAATGCCTGTGATTTACCAGATGTTTTCAGACAAGAACCCTTCTCTGTTAGAAACGAGTCCTAATTTTTGACACGAACAATTATTTAGAGTGTAAAACATGCAAAGAATGCTGCTGTGAAGATGCACTAGAGCTGTTGACTTTTTTTGCGGCGAAGTGAACAGGACTCGTCCAATGGATAGTCTTGTACAAGAAATGTGGTATTTCCACCACTGGCTCGGAGCTATATTAGGGAGATGAGCAACGCCTCAATACTCGTACGAGCAAGGAAAACACTGACATTGTTTATGACTATGATTAGCAACTTTAGACTATTTCAGTTGGTCAGGCCCACTGAGCTAAGGCAGCTCTGTCGCAAGAACAGCGCAAGACCGTCGGTAGTGACGAAAGTTATAGGACACTGAAGGGTGGGAATGTGGACACAGAGACCAACAAGATTATTTACGCGAAACATGCAAAAAAGTACGTAATACGTAGGCTTTCGTTGGCCATACTAAATGTTAGTTATTGAGCAGTTTGGTCCATCAGTTTCAAACACCACACAAAACCGCGTGATGTGTATCGCATAAATCTTTGTTATGTTATTTTTCTCTTATTTACATAACTCATTACATTCGCTCCACTGTTTAATGCCTGGAACCGGATCCCAATAATGGTAGAGGGGGGGGGGGGGGTCAATTGGGGGGGGGGGGGGGCTGTGGAGCGCCGTGGTGGTGGGGGGCGGAGTGTGGTGGTTGTAGATGGGGGGGGAGTGGATGGGGGGTGGTGAAGGGGGGGGATGTGGAGGGGGGTGTGGAGGAGGGGGGGTGGTGAAGGGGGGTGGTGGAGGGGGGTGGTGGTGGAGGGGGGTGGTGGTGGAGGGGGGGTGGTGGTGGGGGGGGGGGGGGGGTGGTGGAGGGGGGGTGGGGATGGTGGAGGGGGGGTGGTGAAGGGAGGTTGGTGAAGGGGGGGTGGTGAAGGGGGGGTGGTGGAGGGGGGGGTGGTGAAGGGGGGTTGGTGAAGGGGGGGTGGTGAAGGGGGGGTGGTGGAGGGGGGGTGGTGGAGGGGGGGGGATGGTGGAGGGGGGGTGGTGGAGGGGGGGTGGTGAAGGGGGGGTGGTGGAGGGGGGGTGTGGTGAAGGGGGGGTGTGGTGAAGGGGGGGGATGTGGAGGGGAGTGTGGTGGAGGATGTGGTGGGTGGTGGTGCGCGCGCGCGCGTCTGGCTTGCCGGGAGTGGGTGGGGGGGAAACGGCGCACAAAGTTCAGCGCGTGCAGCAGCAGCGGGCGGGTAAAGTGGGGCAAAGGGCGCCCACGCGCGCGCGGCGTGATCGGGGGGGGAAGGGGGCGCGCGTGACGTCACGGGCACGGGCGCGCGTGACGTCACGGGCACGAGCGCTGCGCCCGTTGGCGGAGAGCGCGCGCGCGGGGGGGGGGGAGAGCGCGCGCGGGGGGGGGGGGTGCCCCGCCCGCCAGCTGATAGGAAGCCCCCCCCCCCTAAATCCAAAGCCCCCCCCCCTACCAACTCCCCCCCCCTACCAACTCCCCCCCCCATTCCCTCTCCGCCCACGCTGACTGCAGCGTGACTGCCGTGACACCTGCAATGGGTTGGGGGGGGATGATGATGATGAGGCGGGCCCCGTTGCTGGGGTGGGAAGAGTCCGAGGGGGGCGTGCGATATGGCTCTGGCCCCACCAATGTTTGTATCACGCACCGTGATTATGACCGCAGTGGCGGCTGGCTTCTAACAACGGCAATGACGAAGTTTGTGATGATGCCGTCTAAAGCGCAATGATAGACGGACACGCACCGTCGGTGGCACTTTTTATGTTGCAGTAAAAGGGGGCGGCTGGGGAGTGAGGAATTGTTTTTTTTTTGAAGTGTCAAAAGAAGATGTGAGATTATGAATGTAGCCGCGGACTAATTGAGTGTGAAATTGCAATGTAACTGCAGTATGGAATTTTGAGATTGCCTCTACATTTAAAACATAAATTGTACATCGCTTTAGGACGTTCCTCCGATAAAGGTTTTGAAATGCAGTATATTAGATAATAATTTTGCCGTTTAAATGGTAATACTTTGAAGAGATGCCACACAAAATGTATACTGTATATGCAATTACGCAAGATTGCCGTTATGGCCCTTTGTAATTTGCCAAATCATTAATGTATTTTTTTTTATGTCTATCACAAATGCTGCACCATTAAACGCGCTAAGAAATCGGTTAATGCTCCGGTTACGTCATGTTATCGTCCTTATTATCAGCATCGACCCAGATAACATTTCATTTATAGCGAACACCAAGCCCTCTAAATGTTCTACTCTCACAAATCATCCCTAAACTAATATCGTGTTCAAATATTGGCAAGAACGCAGCATCGGTGGCGCGTGACGAGCTCGCAATAAACGGTCCCGAGGAAATGCCACACGCACACATGGCATGACACACACATGGCATGACACACACATGGCATGACACACACATGGCATGCCACACATGGCATGCCACACATGGCATGCCACACCGGGCATGCCACACCGGGGCTCACATGGCATGCCACACCGGGGCCCACATGGCATGCCACACCGGGGCCCACATGGCATGCAACACCGGGGCCCACATGGCATGCCACACCGGGGCACTACATGGCATGCCACACCGGGGCCCACATGGCATGGCCACACCGGGGCCCACGTGGCATGCCACACCGGGGCACTACATGGCATGCCACACCGGGGCCCACATGGCATGGCCACACCGGGGCACGTGTGTCATGCCACACCGGGGCTCACATGGCATGCCACACCGGGGCCCACATGGCATGCAACACCGGGGCCCACATGGCATGCCACACCGGGGCACTACATGGCATGCCACACCGGGGCCCACATGGCATGGCCACACCGGGGCCCACGTGGCATGCCACACCGGGGCACTACATGGCATGCCACACCGGGGCCCACATGGCATGGCCACACCGGGGCACGTGGCATGCCACACCGGGGCACACATGGCATGCCACACCGGGGCTCACATGGCATGCCACACAGGGGCTCACATGGCATGCTACACCGGGGCACGTGGCATGCCACACACCGGGGCCCACATGGCATGCCACACAGGGGCTCACATGGCATGCCACACCGGGGCACACATGGCATGCCACACACCGGGGCACACCGGGGCACAGTACCGTCACAGCATCGGCGGTCACATAAATGAACCACATTTTAACGCGCAGCGTAAACTGTAACAGCCACGGCGTTCAAGCCTTACCAGCTCGGCTTGGAAGTCGGACGGCCCCACACGCCTCACGCCACGGTAGAACGAGCCCATGGCTGCAGCTCCAGAACACCACAAGCACATCAGAGTTGCAACGCGTGGAGCTGGGACGCCAAAGCTGTTCTCCTGCTCCTCGGTCTCCCCGCCCTGGGGTCTCCCGCGAAAAACAAAGAGGGGGTTGGGCCTCGCCTCCCCGTCAGCCAATCGCGTTGCGTGAAATCGGGCTTTCTCTTACGCTTGACCAATGAGATTAGGGCGGAGGCGTGGCCAAAATTGCGAACGAGCAATCGCCGTGGGAGTGGTCACGGCAAAAAAAGCCGTCGCTGCGACCAATCGTATTGCGCGCAGGCGCGCGAGCACGCGCCCCGTTGACCAATGGCGAGCGAGGGTGTGCGCGACGGCGACCAATGGGGAGAGCGGGAACGCGTGATCGCGGCGTGCACCGTGCGTGCATCGCGAAGCTCAGCGCGCGTGCCAAGCTCCTGGGCGTGCTGTGATTGGTCGAAAACGGAGGGTTCGGCCGTTTTTGACCCCCCCCACACCCCCACAACATGCACAGCCCCTCCCGGCCAACCCCCCCCCCCCCCTTCTGGCCGGGCCCCCCCATCCAAAACCGGATTAGATCGGGCACCACAATCCCTCAAGAGATTCATGCAAACGGATATAATGCATCATGAATTATTTAAATCAATTTGTCAATCCACTGCTAGATTAGAGAAAAGCCCTACGTCCGAGGGTCCATCATTTGTGTTTTGACCGTATTTAATCACGATTAAATCGTGGCCGGGAATCGAATTTATCTCTGCGGTTTCACGGCCACCGTTCCACCTACGAATTATATTAAAATAAAATGATAAACATGCAGTCTATGTCATCATAGTACTGTAATAGGGGGGGGGGGGTATAATGACAGTGTGGGGAAATAATTAAACATATATCGCATACTGTACCTCGAAAACCCCTCTGAATAAATATTGAGACTCCTGGGTTAAAATGTATTTCTTCAAATAAATATACTATAAGTTAATATGTAATTCACTTATCAATTATGCTCCACTTTATCGTTAGATACACTACAGTATATACATGTCAACGGCCTGTCAATTAGAAAAATAGAGGCCATACAATTTATCTGTGACTCATTTCCAAAAATGAGGCAATTCTAAGTCTATTATTTGCCAAAATATCAAATTGTGGTCATCCTTAATAATCTGCAAAGCGTTAAAAGTTACAAAGTGGTTACGTCCACTGACAAATTAATATAATATAACGAATAGGATCTGTTTCTACCGTACATAAGTGAATTATTAATTCTCTAATTGAAATCCCTCGCAAGTTAAACTGAAATTGTGTCGCTGACCTGGCAACAGGAATCATCTGCACACACGTGGTGGGCTGATTGTGCGCTTTTTGTCAATTTAATTAATGATCTCCAACATCTGTTGATTTGTTTGATACATTTTACAATAATCAAATCTGACGTCAGGAACGATATAAAACCAGCAGTTTACGACAGGTAATAATGTCGTGGTAATATACTGCTTGACTCAATCTCGATCATTATTTAAAGGAGAGGCATGCTTGAAATATTGAATATATTATCTTTCAAAGTACCATACGTTTCTTCTACATGGCTTAATCCAGAGAAAACCCGTGGAAACTGAGGAACGACACTAAAATGTCCTTACAAGATAGTTATGAATAATGATGATAATGAACGCAACGGGAATATAAAATAATTGCAGTATTTTTTCTGACATGACTCCACACGTTACTGAGATTTGAGATCGTAAGCACCATTGGAATCTTAAATTGTAACAAAAATATCAACAAATCAATTACGTTATAAGCACCACGCTTAAGTAATTAGCCTTGACAAGGCAACCCACACAAACAAAGGGGCTTATCAACATAATGGAAAGGCAACCATTACAGTTGCTATGATCACTGTTTCATTGCGTTCATGGCTTTATGTTGGTGATTTCGAAAAGTTTTTTGGTTTGGCCATGTTTGTTTGTTGTAGTACAGAGTTAGATTGATGAATCTAAGTTGTCTTGTGGTTGTTGTTGTTGTTGTTTGACTTGCATCCCACTGGGATTTTTGCACACAGCGTTGGTGTACGGTTTTTTTCTGCAATATTTCGCTGTCTTTCATAGGATTTTCTGTTTGCACTTAGTCACATATTCACTTTAAGATGTTTTCTTGTTTATGTTTTTGTTTGTTGGCTCACAGGACTCTACCTAATAAATGAACTTGAACCAACACGAATGGAAAACAAAAAATCAGTAACAGACGCGTGACTAAACATCAAATTAAGACGGCACCACCAAATAAAAAAAAATCAACAAGACATGCGGATTATTCTTTAATCTGGCAGCAGGGCTTGAATGCTGCTGCCTGGGTTAGGAGGAGGAGGTGGTGGTGATGGTGGTGCAGTGTTGTTGCTTCGTTTTCTCGGAACCCTGAGCGCCGTGGGGACTGGTGGTGTGGGGGGTGTTGCCGCGATGTACTTTTCACCTTATTTATTTTTATTCCTACTTTAAACAGCGCTACGTGGGTGCGTGAACCCGCGGCTGGGTGCAACGAGTTCGAAATGTCGTCACCGTGGGGCGGCAGGGGAGGAGGGTCCCCCCCTACCCCCCCTACCCTCCCTTACCCTCCCCTACCCTCTTCCCCATCGTCTGGGCAGAGCTTAAGACGACGATTAAACTCCCATCTCAGACGCTGGTCCCTGATTTAAGGAGGGCCGTTGCCCGAAACGTCGCTTGTGTTTGTTGTTGCCGCTTCCGTTTGACGATTTCTTGTTGATTTTTGCTGTGATTTTTATGTTGTTGTTGTTTACACCGAGCTCGGCTTTGCGCCTCGGAGTCACGCTCATTTAAATTCGTGAAACGTTCATGCGCGTTATGAACGGCATCGTTAATGTTCTTATTATTCGAAAACACCACCAATAATTTGTTTAATTTCCGGGAAAAGAAAGGGGCGGCATTTAAATGCAGTGCGCGGGGGGGGGGTCGATTGACGGATGGGCGGGGCTAACGAGAGACGGGGGCGGGGCTTACGTGTGGTGGGCGGGGCTAACGAGGCACGGGGGGCGGGGCTTGCGTGTGGTGGGCGGGGCTTGCGAGACACTGGGGGCGGGTTTGCGTGTGGTGGGCGGGGCTAAAGAGACACGGGGGCGGGGATTGCGAATGGTGGGCGGGGCTTACGTATGGTGGGCGGGGCTTGCGTGTGGTGGGCGGGGCTTGCGGGGGGTCGCGAGGGTTCCTGAAGAGCTCACGCAGTGAGTGAGTGAGGGTCACGTGTCTGCAACACAAGCTGGAGGCCTCGAGGGGGGTGGTGGTGGAGGGGGGTGAAGAGGCACGTTGTAAACTTGTACCCAGATGTGTCGCAATTTTCAGTGTCATTCATTACCACCCCCCTCTCCTTCTCCTCTGCCCACCATGTTTGAGCGACATCCCTCGCTCGTAGTTGGCTGTGAAGGGTTTACCAACAACCGCGTGAAGTGGTTTTATGGCTTTTTTTATTTTACTGCGAAAGTTACCCGTGGGTGACTACTTTAGCCATGTGCGTGCGCTGTAGTTTCAAACGTCGTTTAAAGCGCAGATTCGGCGGTCCGAGCCTGCTTGCTGGGCTTATCATCCGGGAGAGGCGTGCGTTTTATTTTTAGCCTGGGTACATCTCTGCTACGTGCAGCGATGTACTCCGGCCTCGCCCCCCACCCTCACACACACTCCCCCCCCCCTGTGTTTTTTTTTCTAGTTAATTGTGACATGTGGCCAGTCCCCGTGTGCATGTATACATGTTAGTATGAATAGTGTGCGTGCCAGCGGGGAGCGGTGGCGCATTGGTTAGCGCACTGCGCTACGCCACGACTCACATGAACCATGGCGGTTCGACTCAAGCCTCAACATCGATCTCGGGTCCCTGGTTTTGTATCGCAGTGCACGGTTTATATAGTTGAAGATGAACTGTGGTATTATATGTGAAGTGAGGGATACAAAGGCGGCCGGGGGTGGGGGGACTGGCAACAGACCACCCCCTCGTGTGCCGTGTCAGCCTTGAAAGGCGTTCTTGCCTCGGCAGTCTGTAGGGCTAAAACGGGGGTCTTGGCTTCAGTGTGTTGGGTTTATGTGATGTTTGACAATGTGAGGTGGTGTGTGTGGTCGTCAGGGTGGTGCAGAAACCACTCGTGCCTCGGCAAATCAGGACCTGGGTTCGAACCCCTGACTCTGTATGGGGTTGGTATGTTCTGCCCCTGTTCTGGATGAGTTTGCTCCCATTTCTCCTGCCACCGTTAAACATATATAACGCAATCGGTGGAGCAGGGTCCTCCTGAAAAAAATAGTATTCGGACTTGGTGGCTTTCCTGGCTAAGCAAGTAATTATTCTTATCAGCAGCAGCAGATGAAAAATAATGATGAACATCCAATTGGGATTGTCTTCATAATCGAACCATCATCGCCATAAGGTGCAGATGCTGCAGTATGAAAGCCATTAACGTCAAATAATCATTACAATCCTAAACATCATCATCCAATGATCAGTACCATTGTTATTTGTCATCATCGTTATCGATAGCAATCGTCATCATTGTCGTCTGCCAGTAGCTTGTAAATCGTTACTTTTCGTCGTCATGATCCAATCATGGCCCGTTGCTATCTCTACCTGGCCTTTACCTCCTCCCAGATAAGAGAAGTACCTGGTGCAGTGTGAACGTCGTCACTGGGAAGACAAAGGCGGTGAGGCAGTCCACCCACTCACGCGTCTCGCTGACAACAGCATCTGGCCCCCCGAGAGAGACGTCACGGTGAACAAGGAGTGTTTATCGTATTTGTATTGCGCGGAGTGGTTTGTGCGCACCGCACTGAACCCGCTAACCCTAAAGTTCAATTCCACCTCGGGGCAAACAGCACGGGCGAGGTGACATCTGAACCGGTCCTGCCTCCCCACCCTTCACCAACCCGCACTGACCTTCGTGGTGAAGTATGGTCAAACAACTCCCATGGCCGACACGGCGTGGGGAGGTCTCCATCCAGTTGTGGGTTAAAAAGATGAACGCAAAAATATTTACTTCGACAGTACAGTAGAACAAACATCACGTTCGTCAAGAACACTGCTTAAAAGGAAAAAAGAATAGGCGACGTTTCGGGTAATGTCCCTT